ATCATAGTTTACTTAACCACTCTCTTATGTATGCAGCTTTAGGTTGTTTCCAATATTTCACAATTACAAACAAAGCTGCAATAAATAACCTTGTGCATATATATTTTTTCATATTGTTGGAGGTATATATTAGATCCTACAAATGGGTTTGCTGGATTGAAATATACGTACATATGTAGTTTGTTAGGGATTACCAAATTTTCCTCCAGAGGATTTTGCAAATTTGTGCTCCCACCAGCAAGAGTACGTTTCCCCATAGCCTTACCAACAGAATGTGTTGAGATATACATAATATTTTGGCCAGTCTCGTAGGTGGGAAGTGGTATCTCATTGTTCTTTTCATTTCCATTTCTCTACTTGAGCGAATTTGAGTATTTTTCATATCTTTAAGGGCCATTTTTATATCTTTTATTGTGAATTGTCTGTTCATGTCTTTTTCTCATTTTTCTATTGGATTTTTGATCATTTGTCATCCATTTTTAAGAATTATTTGTAGATACTTAGGGATATTAGCCCTCTGTTTATGATATACATTGTAAATATTTTCTTCCAGTTTGTCCATTACCTTTTTACTTTTTTATGGTGGTTTTTGTCATGCAAAATTTTTACATTTTGGGCCAGCCCGGTGGCGCACTGGAGAGTGCACCGCTTGGAAGCACGGTGGTGCTCCCGCCGAGGGTTCGGATCCCATGTGGAGACCGGTTCCCGCTCACTGGCTGAGCGCAGTGCGGGCGCAACACTGAGGGTTGCGATCCCGTTACCAGTCAGTAAAAAAGACAAAAAGGAAAAAAAATTTTACATTTTTATTTGGTCAAATTTATCAATCTTTTCTTTTATTGCCCCTAGATTTTGAATCATAGTTAGAAAGCCTTTCCTGCATCAAGACTTTAAAGAATTCATCCATGTTTTCTTCTAGTACTTGTGTGATTTCATTTTTTTTACATTTAGATCCCTAACCACTGGAGTTTATTCTTGGGTATGAAGTGAGATTCAGATCTATTTTCATCTTTTCCTAAAGGGCTACCCAGTCATCTTGGCACCATTTATTAAAAAGTCCATCTTTACCCCAGTGGTTTGAAATCCCACTTTTATCATATACTAAATTTCCACATGTACTTGGGTCTATTTCTTGGCTCTCTATTCTATCCCACTGATCTATTTGTCTATTCATGTGCTGTTACCACACTGTTTTAACTATAGTGGTTTTGTAATATGTTTTAATGTCTAGAAAGGCTAGTCCTTCATCATAGTTTTTTTTGTTTGCTTCCTGATTCTTTCTGCATGTTTGTTTTCTATGTGGACTTTAGGGTAATGTGTCTAACTCCATAACATAGTCTGTGGTGTTTTATTGACATTACATTGAATTTGTAAATTAACTTAGAGAGAAATGACATCTTCATAAAGTTGAGTCATTCTATCCAAGAATGGGAGATGTCTTTACATTTGTTCAAGTCTTATTTAGCATCTTTCAGTAGTGTTTCAACATTTTTCTTGCATGGTTTCACACAATTCTTGTTAAACTTATTCACTTATTCCAAAGTATTTAATCATATTTGTTACTAATGTAAATGGGGTTTTCTCTACCATTATAACCTGTTTATTTTGTGTGTGTTAATTCTGTATCCTACTTCTTCACCAAAATGTTATTGTGTTAGTCATATCATTGATTCTTTGGGATATATTATCATATTGGAGTTAATTCTTTACCCCACCAGAAGAGGGTTTTGAGGCTGCTGGTGCCCTCCTGCCTCAGCGAAGGGTTTTCTCCAGGATATTTCAGGGTAGAGAACCTGTGAAGAGCTAAACTGAATGATTCCTGGGAGGAAGGTCCATGTCTGTCCTGTTCACCACTGTGGGCTTGGCAGCCAGCCCAGAGCCTTACACAGGGTTGATGCATGGGAAGGGCTGGCAGAAGACAAGGAGAGAATGGGGCCTGCTTATGGATTTCTGGGGCCTCTGCAGTGAGTGAAAGGCTGGCGAGGATGCTGAGATCATGTTTCCTGCACAGCCGTGATGGAGAAGCATGTTTTGAAAATGAAAAGGCAGGCTTGAAGTAGCCAATCAACAAGATTTCCCTGCAGGAACTTCACCAGCGAAGGTGCAAGAAAGTCTGGTTGCCTCTGCAGCCGCAGAGAAGGGGAAGGGGCTGGAAAGAGCCAGGCAGACCCTCTCTGTCACTTATTTAACTCACCCCCTCATAGTTTGTGTAGCCCCTCTCCCTGTGAGGGTTAACAGGACCCTGGAGTCCAGGGGAGGAAACAGGATCAGAGAAGTGAGGTGGCCTGCCCAAGTTCTCATAGCCAGTAACTAGGAAAACTGGGATCCTAGCCCATGTTCTGACCCTGAAGCCCTATCCCAAAAGCAAGTTGATTCCAAAAGGTGAAATTCATTGGTCAGTACTCATTTTTTTTCCCAGGCATTTTCTAAAATGCGCCTGGAACTGCCAAGTTCTGCCCATCCCTGGCTACAGATAAATCTGTTCTATACATTAGGAACAGGGTAGGGTGAGAGGTCACCTGGGCCCGTGGAGAGGGAAGTCTGCCAAGATATGAACAACAGACCAGAAAATCATCTTACATTTATGGTGTAAGAAACCCCAGGACCTTGTTGGTACAAAAAGAGATGTCAGTACCCACAATCCGAGAAGGCCTGTCTCTCCCAGCCCTTCCTCTCATGCCACAGAACAGCAAGTGCAGATCCAGAGTCCCTGTGGAAAGAAAAGAAAGGCCAACTACTTGTCCCAAGGTCTGTAATTACAGAAAGTCCACAAGGCACTGTTCAGTGGTATGGTCCCTAGGACCAGCTTTGGCCTGTGTCTTGTTCCTCATAGTCAAGATGGTCCCTTATTAATATGTGAGCGCATGCATCTATGCCACTCTGATGGAAAGTGCTGGTTACTGCAGTTACCAAGGCCACTAACCATATCACGGTCTAGTTTTCCAAGGCACATCCATTGAACTAACATTCATTGGGCACTTGACGTATACCAAGTCCTGGCCTGGTCCGCCTCCATGTGTCAAGTCAGCTTTCTTCACGACAACCCTGAAAAATAATCAATGCTCCCACTGAACAGAGGATAACCAGTGCTCACAAAAGGTTGAATGATGTGCCAATCTTCCTTTGAACTCCTGGATGTCTGATTCTAAAAAGTGTAAATCTAGAGAGGTGGTTCTCAGAGGGTGGTCCCTGGCCCAGCAGCCTCAGCATCACCTGGGAAGTTGCTAGAAAACAAATTCTCAGGCCCATCGTCTATCTGCTGAACTGGAAACTGGGGTGGGGGCAGGGAGACAGCAATCTGCATTTTAACAAGACTTCCATGTGATTCTGATGCTCTAAGTTTGAGAATCACTGAGCTAGAGAATCCCAGAGGTCACAGACGCTGGGAGTAACTAGTAATTGCAGATCATCTAAAACAGTGTTTCTCGATATGTGTTCCATGGAATCTCAGTGCTGCTGAGATGGTTAATTGTAATCCCCAAATGAGGAGTTCCTCTCGCAAATAAGTTTGAGAGCCCCTGGCTTAAAGAAAGTTTAAAAAGCATTTTTACTGCAGGACTTTTGAGTTTTAACCAGGCTAGTTTTACCTCAGACATCTCAGAGAGAGTACACAAGTAGTTTTTCAAACTTCCTGGATCATGGGACCCTCTTTTCTCAGAACACCTATTAAATATCTCCCAGGACACCTGTGTTCCACGGAGTCCAGTCTGGTAAGTGCTAGTCTTGAGGGAAAAAAAGCCAAGAAATTCAACAAGAGCTTCTGCTGAGAACTGTACATGCCAATACCCATACTGGATTCCACAGGACAGGCTTTCTCTTAGCTTCTCTTAGCTGTTTAATGACAGCTTTTACAGAGTTCATCATCTTATGTAACCTAAAGGAACACAAAATGCACTGCAGGCTTAAGGGAGCTGTGGGTTGGGGTTATTAGGAAAAAAGAGAAAGCCTGTGCCAGTGATCATGGGGCCTTCCATGAGTAATCCTGCGCCAAAGCCCAGAGGAGCCAGGCAATGTATTATTGTTATTATGTTCTCAACAATGGAGGACTGACATTTTCAAGAGTTTGTCAATTATTTTAATAACTAACTCTTCAGGGTGGCGAGGCCAAGGGGATGGGTGTTACTCATTCCACAGATATGTACGTACTTGAAGTGAGCTCCCCCGCCCAACCCCAGGGCTCTGGGAAAACAGAGGTGGCCCAGATTCAACAACTCCATGAGGGTAGATAGGTTTTGAAAATATCTTTTACTTGATGAGTTTTAAATATCACCACCCTCCCCTGGTCTGATGGTAGGAGTCTATGGGAGTCTAGAGAAAGATTTTCCTGACTGACGTATTCCCCTGGCAGGCAGATACTTCTCTGGGTGAAGGACTCAGATGGAAATAAAAGAGGCCAGGAAGAGACACAAGCTGGGTGACATCACTTCCCAGGGTCCACACTCACTCATTCATGAATTCAGTCACTCATGTCATCAGAGCAAGGATAAGGTGGTCTCAGTCCTCCCAGGGCTAGGCCTGATGCTGGAAACAGACTGAGCCAAGGACGTTACAATACAGGGCAGTGAGGATGACGTGATGTGGGGCAGAGGGGAGAGGAGGTGGGCCCAGAGCACCGAAGCCAGATCACACAGCCCAGTCTGTGGGTGTCAGCTGCCCTCTTGCCTTTCCCCCACCTCCCAGGGCCTCAAGCAAAGTCCTGTTAGAACCTTCCAGGTTAGCTTAGCTATGCCTTGGAAAGAGTCATTACCCGAATATGAATTAAAGCGTAAATGGGGAGCAGTAAGGCCTGATGCCAGCACTGGCCAGAGTAGGCACTCCAGCTGCCATCTTGGACAGTGAGGCCCCTGGAGGAAGGAAGCCATGAACCAGGAAGTCGAACCAGGTACAGAAAGGTAGGAACAGGCTGGGACCCTGATGGCCACCTAGCTACACTAGACTTGGACCACCCATCTACTCACTTCCTTTACGTAAAAGAGAATTTCTACTTTATTAAAATCACCAGGTACATAAAATATTTTTAACATATTTCTAATCATATATTTTACACGTAAAATCAAAAAGCTTAAATGTAAACTGGAATTGTTTTAAAGTGCTAACTGAAAGAAAATATATACCCTGCTTAACATTTTAAAAAAATATCAGCAACAGTTACAGCAACTGAGGTGGCTCCAGGGGGTACTGACTTTATGCCCTGTGGAACCCCAGCCTTGGAGTAGAATGGGGTGATGCCAACAGATATGGAATGTCATTGCCCTGGTTGGCCCCTCCGCCCTTCAGAGATGTCAGCCCCTGCCACGCTCCTCCAGGCCAATCCTGGGAGTCTCTGGGGAGGGCCTCCCCACACTCTAAGAACTAGGCCCCATTGTGCCTACTGTGTATCATCTGCCCTTATCCTGCCCTGGGTCATAGTAGGGTTTATCACTGCTCCATGACCCCCACCACCACCGGCCCTGCTTGCCGCACAGGAACAGCAGCCCTGTGCAAGCTGGTGCCAGCCATTTCAGGTGTGACCTCTAGGCTGGGAGGTTTTTGCGACCAGCTCTGGCCACTGCTACTATGGCCTCCTCTCTGCAGTGCCAGGGTGGGAGGACAGCAGGTTAGGAAATATGGTATTTAAAAAATAAAAACACATTATCCTGCTGGCAAATGGATGCTGCAGAAAGCTAAAATTACTGGCACAGGGAACACTCCAAAATCAACAACGGGATTTAGGTGAAGGATTTACTGAGTGCCACAGAGTAAAACAAAAATCACATTTTCCCCAAACTGAGCCAAGGGGAAATACCGGACTGTTTATTTACAAATTCCCAAAGATGGCCCCAGGACATCAAGATTCCTGATAGCAAAGGTTCCTGCCTCCCCCAATTATCTGGTTAATCACTGGCATTTGGGCTACAGGTGCTGAGAGACACGGTCCCCACCTGGCTGCTGCCCCTCATCCTGCTGACACAGCCCAAGAATCTGTCCAAACAAGAAAGACCAGGAGCTGGACTCTTAGTACTCTCTCAGGGACTGGCCATAGGGGCACCGGACACCTGTTTAGTGGCAGAGAGTTGTACACACAGGTGCCCACACTTGCAGAGGCTTTGGTACCTTCAGCTATAGCCAGCCACTGCTGTGAGAGGACTTGGCCTATTTCTCCAGAGTCCACAATTAATCCTTCCCCAGATTTACAACCAGTCTTCTTGAAGCTCTCTCCACCCACCTCCAAAACATCAGCAGCAGCAATGCTTCCAGAGCCTTGTTTGCAAACCCCAATTCTCCTGTCCAGACTGTCCCCAAGGGAATGTTCTTCCTCTCTCATTTCTTCCTTGACTGCAGAGGCAGCTGTGCCTTCCATGCATTCTCACAGCTGAGCAAAGCGATATTTTCTGAACCAATAAAGATGGTTTCACACTCTATGGCCTGAGGTGTCCCCTTGGATGGAAAAACATTGCAAAAAAGACTTAAGGCCACTGATGTCTCTTCCCCTGGGCCACAAACAACTGGTGAAGCTCCTCATACAAGGACATGAGGGAATCAGGGACCTTCGGAAGCCAGAGCTGGTCACCCCTTGTCCCAGCTTGGCACTGGGCAAACAGGCCAAGCACCAAAAGCTCTTTCCCTGACATGAAATTGGCAGCTGTTCAAGCAGGACCTTTATCCCAGGAAGACTGAGCCCCATGCAGGAACCAATGCTTTCTTCTGAGGTCACTGAAGTCCAGTGATGAGGTGGTAGATACTTCAGCGTGCTGGAAAACCACTGAATGCTGGGCTCCAGCCAAATATAGGACTATCCTGAAATTGTGAAATTTAGAAAAATCTAGAAATGCTGACTATCCTTGAGAACTGCTCAATAATGAGAAAATGATGATACTGGCTCCATATACTGCCAGCTGTCCCTACAACGATGTGAGAGTCTCCAGCAAGGCAGGACTGTGGAGGAACAGCTCTCAGGCTGAGGCAGCCTGAGGCAAGAGAAAATTCTGGAGTCGGCCAAAAGTCTGACTGATGCCAGCTTCACTGTATAGTGGCTGGGTGGCCCTGTGGAATCACTTCACCTCTCTGAGCTTCAAATTCCTCACCTGGGATATAAGACTGCTACCTCACCCTCTGGGTAGTCTGAAGAGCTGAAGACAATTCTGTACAGAGCCCAGCATGATGCAGGACACATGGCAGGTGCTCTTCCTAATGGCTTCACCAGAGGGATCCAGCAGTGAGAAGCCACCAGGAGAGGCACCAGGGGGAATGCAAGGCTGCGGACACCAAAGAGCACAAAGAATCCATTGGTCCCATTTGTCATTTACCCACAAAGGCTAGAGACCCATGATAAATACACTGGCAAAGGGAAAAGACTATTAGAAAAATAAATATGGCCAGAGAAAAAGCCTTCCTAAGTATGGATTTTTCCAAATTGTTCCTAATAGCTAACTTGGCTGCTGTGGGCATTTTTCTGGCCTGATCTTCTAGACCTTTCCCGTCCTACAGGCCAAGCTTCCGATTTTCTGGAGTTAGTATTCGGTCCCGGTTTTGTTCAAAGAGTTCTAACACCTTCTCCATGTTGTGGTCAGCATCAATCACCTGGAAGTTAAACACACAGGTCACAGGGTCACACCAACCTCAATGTCACCCTCCCTTCACAGATGGAGAGAGACAGAGACAGGCAGGAAGAAGCAGGGAAGGCAGGGAAGGCCAAGGTCACACAGGCAGATAAAGAGGAAAGTTGGAGCCAAATGGCTCCCAGCTCTTGGTCATTCTACATTCCCAACTAGATTTTCATTAAGAATCTACTATAGTTGTCCTTGTGGTGAGCTCACAGATGGCTTTTCTTCTCATCATTTTATACCCTCCACATTTTTCATAATGAGGGGAAAAAATAAACTTTACTTCTTTAACAACCCACTATAGTAATAATATCTCTTTCCAGCAACCTTACTGCCTGCAAGAGCCATGAGTGAAAGAGTTTGAGCAACCCAAAGAGCTGTCCTGAAGGCCATTCACAAAAGCTCGTGCATGGCCCTCTCTCACATCCCATATTGTGTGTGCAATGATCTTAGGTGTTCGTTTGCCTTAGTAATTTGGGAACAGCAAATCAGCAAACAAGGGGGTGGGAAGTGAGGGAGTACTAACATAGGCAGACACAGCAACTCCAGTTAGAAATGACACGTGTCAGCAAGAGAAAGGAAGGCTACTATAAAAAGCAAACACAGAATCTAAAGGCATTAGTAGTCTGGGCAAACAGTCCTACACACCTCAGCACCTTCTAAGGCCATCACTGTGTGAAAGCCCAGAACAGCAACCGATGTTCCTTCTGATTACCCTGAGTCACCAAGCAAAGGTGTCATCCACTGAAGAAGGAAGGTCATATCAGAGGGACCACCATCCCAAACAGATAAAACCAAACCCAGGACTAGAGGCTTTGGGCATCTGGAACACTTCTCTGCTGACAATGCTGGATAGGTGACATGTTACTGTGATCACCAGGTGAACCGGCACCGGGACAGATTGCCTTCTGTCAGGTCTGTCCAACTTGCTCTAAGACTCAGTCCAGAAATGGAGACTGGGAGAGAGAAAGACCCCTCGCCAGCCTTCCCACATTCCTCCTTCCAAATTCTCAAGCTCTGATGTGGCCCTTCCCATCTGTAGAATGGCTGATATTCCCTCAGTCACTCCTTGTAGAAAAGTCTCCTGTCTTGTGTTCACTTACCAGAACAGGTGCTGCCACAGGGAAAAGGCTTCCTTTGACAAGCCACTCCTCATAGAGGTGGTGAATAGCATCCAGATATTCCTGCCAGGGAAACACGTGAGTGCAGGCTATTGAGAACAAGGAGAGAGGAAAGCCCCTCCCACCAAGGGTCTTGGGCAGGTGGGGCAAAGCTGTCAATGACCACAGGGCAGTGACTTGGACAAAGCCCTGCAACAGCCAACCTGGCTCAGGTCGGCAGCATAAATGCAGCCAGCTGGCCCAGGCATCGCAACAGTCAGAAGTATCACCAGCCACCCTGCTCTGCTCCATTGGGGTTTCGTGAGCATGAATACCCTCCCCTGGTGCCTGAGTGGAGGCCAAGTCAAAAGGCAGGACTCCTCACCACACACCTGACTTTTCCCATTTACTGCCACTTCTCTAGCAGCAGGGCCTCGGATCCTTCACACGGGGATCTGTGGCTACTCTGTGACCAGGTGCCCCAGCCCTGCAGCCTCTAAACCCTCCCCTTTGTCTTGTCACCAAGAGGACTACGACCCTCACCACTTGCTGCTTCCACCCTCAGAAACAACTCAAGACCACAAAGACCATCAACTGCAGAAGGCCTGATGAGGTGGAGCCCAAGGGAAAAGGGACACAGATACTCCCCTGAGCCATGCGTGCCCTGGCACCAAGCAGCAAGGAACCCTCACGCTCCACACTCACAAACAGCGTGCTCGTGGCCACCCACGAACATCTCCCGAGCGGCACGCTATGTGCCACCCTGGATGCTGTTGTACAAACCACGCTGCTGTCTTTTCATCTGCCACTGAGCTTTCCCTCAGCAACAGGAGCCAGATCTATCACATACACTTTGTCAAAAGCATTAAGACAACGGCTTGGATAATGGCTTGGAAGGTCTCCAGACCTGGCATTTCTTTGGAACATTTGGGTCACTGCACAGAGCTGCCATGCCCCATCACGGTGTGGTTTGGCCAGGCCCTGCTCCATGGTGCTCCATCCTCCAGACACTCCTGTCTCAGATTTCAAAGGAGCTGCCCAGAGCGAGGCCTGGGCCTTCATGGCTGGAATCTACCTTGCTGGCACCAGGGCAAAACAAAGCTGGGCAGAGCCTCAGGAGTTAGACGGATCTCCCAGAGCCCCCAACCCAGCCCATCCTAAGTTCAGAGCCCCATGACATCCCACTAAATGTTTGTCCAGCCTCTATGTACCTCCAGGAGAAGCTCCTCACACGGGGAATTCAGTTGAATATCAACTGAGCAACTATTAGATTCCCGGCCCCAGGACACATGCTAAAGACACAGAGGGAATAAGACCAAATCTTAGAAAGCTTAAGGGATGGGGAACAAAGGCATAAACAAATAGTGTCAGGGTACTATCCTAAGGGTTGTGATCCCAGTAAGCCCAGGGGTAGGGGAAACACAATGGAGGGAAGGTCAGGGAAGGCTTCCTAGAGGTGACATCTGAGCTAAACTTTAAAAGCAAAGGACACCACTCTACAAAGGCAGGCGCGCATGCGTGCGTGCGTGTGTGTGCCACAACTAGTTCCTTATGACCAGAGCATTGAAAGCATGGAGTGGAGGGAGGTAATGCCAGAGAGGAAAATGTGCGTAAATCTTGCATGCCATGCTATGAAGCAGGGACTTTATCCTAGACAGCAGAGAGACATTGAAAGTTGGGCTGGAAAACTGCATGAGTGGTTTTCCATACTGGAAATATCACCCATGCCACAGCCTGGAGGCTGGATTTCAGAGGGAGATATGGGAAGTAAAGGGCCAGGGCAAAGAGAACAGTCCAGGATGCCACAACAGCTCCAACTAGGGTTGACGTGGTCCCAAGCCAGAACCCAGAGGGCAAGGCACCACCCACTGGGCAAACACTAGTGAGCACGAGCACCACCTCCACGCCGGGCACTATGCTGAGCTCTGGAGATGCAGCAGTGGGCAAGAGGGCTTGGTCCTGCCCACCTGGAACTCATATTCCAGTGAGGATCCAGAGGAAAGCATTCAGCCAAGCAATCTTCAGTTGAAACAGACAAGCTCTGGTATAGCCAAGGCACGGAGTGGGGCAAGGGACAGAAGGGTGGGGTGACTGAGCATGGGGTGGCCAAACCCTGGGTCAGGGACTACAGGAAATGAAGCAGATCTGGACATTCACATGATTCTCCAGCCACACAAGAAGTCAGAGTTTAACCTTGCACACGCTCAGTTCCTGTTTTTCTCTCTGCACACAACAGCGTAATGATCTCATGGTAGGTGGGGCCAGGGGCAGTAAGCCAGGCTGGGATGCAGGTGGTTTCCCCATTTGTCTCTAACCAAGCCAGAGAGGCTTCTTACCAGTGGAATGACCTTCTCCTCTTCTCTGCATCTCATTTTTAACCTCTGGAAACAGGTCTCAGGTGTGGTCCGGAGATAAACTAGGTTAAAAAAAAATAGGTGGCTCTAATCACTCTGCTCATGGCTTGGAAGAGGAAAGCAGGAGAGACAGACCGGGGGCCAGCTCTCAGCTTGATCACTGGCTAGCTGTGTGGCTGAACAGACATCTTGACCCAGAATCGCTGACTCCTGTTCCCTTTCCATGTCACCAGCCCCATGGGGTCATTGTGATGCTGAATGAGATTCCACATATACACAGAGCTTAGAACAGTTCCTGGCACACGGCGGTGGGTTTCAGTAAATGTCCAGATTCTGTCCCATCGCCTCCTTTACAAATGAGAAAAACCCATCAAATCACAGTGGATTTGGATCTGAAAGTAGCAGACCCAGGGGAGGGCAGCTTAAGGAACAAAGGCCAGAGTTCTTCTCTATGAGGGACCAGAAACCCCAAAATTGTGTCTGCCCTTGGGGAGAAGACTGAATTAATGTGGGGAGGGAATCACTGATGTCAAGTGCCCCACCCACCGCCCCTGCAGGTTGGGGGCCCAGCCGGGCACTCCGCACTGGGCCCAGGGGAGAGCCCAGGAGGGAGGTGAGGGAGGACCACCTCACCTATCAAATCAACGGACATGTCGATGTTCTTCACGATCCAGTCAAACCATTCCGACAGAACCACATAGTCCACTTCAGGCATCTTCCCGCTGCAATGAGAGTTGCAGGGGTTTTACTCACCATGAGAGAGTTTCTGGGCTGCAGCGTTCCCTAAAAGGGATCTAGGAATGGCTCTCATTGAAAGAGAGTCACCAAGAGCACCATGGCATAGCGTCATCCACACAATACTGGCATGTATTGACTACAAGGCCCCTGAACGTTCCTGACCTGCCTTCCTCTGGATGATTTCATTCAGAGTCATGGCACTAAATTACGGGAGAATTCATTTGGACTGTGAACTCCACTCAGAGAAAGAAACTTTAAAGCTGGTCCCCTGAGAATGGAGACAGCATTCAGGTTGGGAAATGGATCAGTAAGCCAATTTTACTTCTAGAAACTTATTTTGTGAAACTAATTGTGGATGCTTACTGCAGCACTATTTAAAATAATGAAAAATAATAATCTTTGTGTATCTATATAACAAAAAACTGTGCAGTAACTGAAAGACAATGGTATAAAATAATATTTCATGACATGGAAAATGCTCATAATCTAGTGTTCAATGAAAACCAGAGGACATAAAATAATATGACCCCAACCGTATTTTCAACATATTCATCTACATGTTTTGAACAGACTAGAAAGAAAAATATCAAAATATTAATAGTGCCCTTCTCTGAGCTGTAGGACTTGGGAGACTTCTATTTTTTTTCTTTCTACCTTTTAGTATTTTCCAAATTTTCAGTCTGCAGTTGACCACGGATAACTGAAACCTTGGAAAGCAAAACTGCAGATAAGGAGAACTGCTATACATTATTTTCTTCTGCTTTCACAACACCTTGTGAAGTTGATTTTAGCCTAAATTTATAGACGAGGAAAGCTGAGGCTCAGAGGAGTTAAGCCCAACATGGATTCAAGCCTGGCTCTCCGTGGCCCCCAAACCCATACACCTCCATTGCATCCCTCGTCCCCCCTGGTCTGCCAACTGCAGGGGATGTCCTGGATCAAGTCCAGTGTCTCTGGCCTGCGATCGAAGGAAGCCGCAGCTCTCAGGCCCTTGACCCTGGCCATGAGACCAGAGCTGGGGAGGGTGCGAGCCCCAGGCCCAGCGATGGAGGGAGGAGGTCCCGCCTGTTGTTCTGAATCAATGTCCCAGAACACCAGCCACAGGTGAGTCAGCATGCCACTTCCCCAGCTGGGCCCCACTCAATTCCCTTACTTCTGTTCTTAGAAAAGGAAGAAAGGCAATCTTGTAAAACCTTTGCATTCAATTACTCAGCCCACAGGGCTTGGACCACACAATCGCCTGTGCGGCCTCTTTAGCTACATGAATTTTTCTTACCACCTTCAGCTTTTATTTCATCCTGGTGCTCACAGCTCAGAAGTTCCCATCTTTAAGGACACTGTATAACTGGAATCTTCCTCTTCAGGGATTAACACAACCCTCTCAAGCCCCTGGTGGCACAACTGCACTTACATCCTGCCCGCCCGAACATCGCTAGGCTGGGAGTGCTGGAAGAGGCAGGTCTCTCTCTACATGAGCTCTTCATTAGTGCCCCAAAAGCAAAAACACCCTTCCAGAAACTCTGCTTTGGGGAGATGCAGAATTCCAATATGTGGGCTCTTCTTGGAGAGAAGACCTGCAGTTGCAAACAGCAAGGCCAGGCCTGCTGTACTCCCTTCTGTCTAGGCCCCCAAAGATCCCAAACCAAGGTGGCAAGTGCTCCTGAGAAAGTGAAAAAGATCAACCACAGCACTGAAGGGGCGGCAGCACTTGCCCCCACCTTGTGGAAGGGCCCGCCAGCACGGCCTGTTAGGAAGTAAGGAAACACAGGCTCCCAGGAGCCGATGCCTCCCACTTGCCATCTTGTGGTTCCCGGTACCCGGCTGAAGACCCCGCAACCAAGAACAAAACATCCTATTTTAGGTAAGGATCCAGCTGAACTCAGTTCTATGCTACATTTGGTACAGGTTTAGACTGTATTTGGGGGGAGCAGAAACCTCTAAAAACATCTACTTTCTCATTCATACTTCATTGCAGATGACCCACCACTTCAAGGAGAGCTGGAGCCGTAAGGAGAGTGACCTCAAAGAAAGCCCAAATTCTATTCTTCCCTCCATTCACCGCTTCTGTAGCTCTGGCTAAAAGTACTTTTTAACTGCGCCTCAAGAGAGCAAATCTTTGGCCCAACTCCTGGCCTAGGAATAAAGCCGGAAGGACACCTTTAAAACAAACATAACACAACAAAACCCCAACAATCAAACCTGAAACAACCAGTGAGAAATGAAGAAACCACAGGCCAAGTGCAGGAAACTGAGGAAATCCCTCACTGTGCAGAATTTTCACATGGCCTTGAAGACAGTCCTCAGGATGGGGCTCTTGCTCTTGTTACCCCACAGGCCCAATGAGGCCCTAAGGAAGCCGTGGGGACAGAACTGCAGGGGAAAAGGGCTGAGGAGTAGGGACTGAAGGCTCCCTGCAGACCACCTGGCCCACTGGCACCTTACACCTCAAAGTGTGATCCCGGAAGAGCACCTGCTAGAAATGCAGACTCAGGCAGAAGTCCCACCCCAGCCTCACTGAAGCAGAATCTGCACATTAACAAGATGCGCAGGTGATCGTGGGAGAAGCCTAAAGTAAGGCCTGTGTGGAAAGAAGAGAGTATCACCCTGGGGCTAGCACCTCAGGATTCTCAGTCAAAGGGCCTGAAGCCTTTGGCCTTGAGGGCCTTGAGAGAAATCTAGATGTCTCTCACCACTTCCTCACTCCTTGCTTGCCCCCACGCAGCTGGGTACAGAATATCTTCCCCCTCCCTTGGTTAGTTTCCTGCCCAATCAGAAAGGAGAACTAGTTTTGCAATCCCTTCACTTCCCTATCTGCCAAACAGGGTCAACAACTAGACAATACGTGTGGCTCCTGCCCATGGGTCGCTGCCCTGCCCTGTAACCACATGAGCAAATGCCCCAATTTCCAAGGAAACGTACACCAGTCCAGTTCACAAGTAATCACCTGCCCTGGGAAGGTGCTTTTACAGCCTTGGTTTCAGCCCTCGGTTTTCTGCCTCCCGCACCTGGGGACTCTGCAGTACCTGGCTAAGGGAGGGAGTACTCCAAGCCACATCCTAAGCATGGTGTTTACTATAGGATCATTCATTTTTCTCAATGACAAGTATGTAAACTATTATGTTTAGATATAAACAGAACATGTTATAGAGTAGAATGCAAAATCCAAATGAACTCCTGTATTAAAAGAGGATATTTCAAAGAAATTTCCAGATTGTTAGCAGGCTGCAGCTTTGGGACACAGGGGTTAGAAGGGTAAGGTGAGAAAGCAACTGACTGTGGGGTCTTCTCTGCTGCCTTCGGAGGACTCAGTGAAAGAGCTTGAGGAGCATGGCCTTCTCCTATCTCCTTGAACACCGTGGCAGCTGGCCTGGCCCTCAGGTGCCATGTGCTCCCAGGCTCCTCGGGAGCACCTGAGGCCACGCACCAGCTGACAGCCTTTGGCTTCATCAAGTGATACTTGGTGATGAATCTCAGGACTCCAACAAGGTCTTCAGGGGAAACCATGCCCTGTTGGAGGCTGAATGAACTTTGATCCTGGGAACAGAAACAAAGACACTACATTTCTTTTGTGGTTCGTTGTCGCACAGAAATCGTCAGATTCCAGGCATTCTGGGAGGGCCAGGGTGAGGCAAAAATAGGAAGTCACCAGGGCAGGAAAAGAGCTAAAAGATTTAAAAGCTACATTATTTTCCTACACTACCCACAAAACAGCCCAAAGCAAGACCATAACCACAGAGACTGGGAAATACAGAAGCAATCCATCAGAAGTAGTGTGACAAAGGACTGTAGGTGTGTTATCCAGGCCCACAGACATCGGCTAAAATTGTGACCTGGGACAGCAAAGGCAAACGGCTCCTAGGGAGATTCACCTGGTGTTGGGCAGCCTACAAGGGGTGACAGAGCGGGTGGGGAAACTGACAAATTTCATGAACACCGAGGTAGGCAAGGACCCAACAAGGGTAGTAAGACCCAAAGTGGGCAACTGGTCCAAAGGCTCTTCAGAGATGGATGACAGGAATTAGAGATGAACGATGGGAATTAGACATGACAAATGGACTCAGAAGACTTTAGAAACTTGGTCACACCACAAAGAGAGCAAACTCCAGAAGCAGGATGGATCCAAGTACACCTAACCCCATACCGCACTCTCTCCCCTCAACCTCTGGTCATTCCATTTCAGGTCACCCTCTTCAAAGAGCCACCGGCCACCACACACAAAGCTGTTTCTCAAACAGCTACAGATAGATCTTCCAGACAATCCAGCAATCCCATTTCTAGGTATATACCCAAAGGAATGGAAATCATCATGTCAAAGGGATACCTGCACTCCCATGTTCATCGCAGCTCTGTTCACAACAGCCAAGAGATGGAACCAACATGTCCATCGATGGACGACTGGATAAGGAAAATGTGGTATATATATACACCAAGGAATACTATTCTGCCATAAAAAAGAATGAAATTCCCCCATTTGCAACAACATGGATGAGCTTGGAGAAACTTTATGTTGAGTGAAATAAGCAAAACACAGAGGGATAAATACCACATGTGCTCACTCATAAGTGGGAGCTAAGAGAGAAAGAAGGAAGAAAAGAAAGACCACAGTGGTGCATTGGACTTGCAGAGGGAAAGAACATACCTAAGGATACAAAGTGGAGTGAGGAAGGCGGAGTGGGAGGGAAGTCAGGGATAATTGGGAGGATATTTAGGTGGGGGACATAGGGTATAATCACAATTTGAGGTACTGGGCATGCTGCCAGTATGGATCTGGCCATCACATCTTAGGCACAAGTGGTGAAAATTTGCTTTGTACCCCATGAATATTCATAACCAATTTAAAAAAAAAACACTGAAAAAGTTGTTAAAATAAAAAAAAAAAGACAGAGACAGCCCCACTTTTTGAGGTTCACAGGAAGTCCCTCCCCACTACCCAGCGTCCACTCCCTAGGCTACACTTGTGTCAGATGAGTAATGAGTAAGCAAACATCACAGGGGCTTCCGTTGGTTTTTCCCTCCTTTCCTCTGCCTGTCCTCCCTCTGGCTGATGAGCAGGGAGCAGAGGAGAGCAAAGTGTTGGATAAACCTAGCAGTGGATACCTCGAACCCTGCTGGAAACCCAGGAAGTTGGGTGAGAATGGGGCTCTAGTATCAGGAATGCCGCCTGCTGGAAGGCCAAGCTAGAGCTACAAGCAAGTCTGAGGTCAGGGGACAAGCTACTGTCAGGACCTGCCCTAGCTGCCTGCCCCAACCCCATGGCATTGGTCTGACACTCAGAGTGGAATGGAGGCAGAGACTCTTGTTTGGGGGAGTGACACGGGTTCAAGGACATGGACCCATGGGAGAAGTCTTTTTAGTGGCCCCCTCAAATGAAAGGGTACAAAACAGTGGGGGCCACAGCTTGGGGACCAAGTTGGGCTGGAGACCAAAGAACAGCCACAGGTCTCATCATCCAACAACAGTGAACAAGTATTGGCCAGGTGCCTGCTCAGTGCTGGGTCCAAGCTAGGCAGAAACCAGACTTGGTGCCTGCCCTCAGGAGCCTCTGGTCCAGGTGGGGGTGTTGTGTGCAATAAATAATTGGACATATGCTAAGTTGAACATAAAACTGCCATTTGCGTAGGTCAAGTTGGTCAAATATTAACAATTTCATATGGCTATCTTAAACACTACAGAGAGAACCAACAGACGGTAGTCATTAAGAACAACAAGGGGCTCAACTCATCTGGACAGGGCACCCAAGAGGGTCAGGAGAGAGGTGACATCTGGGAGGACAGCTCCAGATGAGGATAGCGCGTGAAAGGAAGAGCACCCTGCGCGGAGAGCAGGACCAGCTCTACCAGGTGGTGACAGCAGTGCCTCAGCCCAAGGCAGGAAGATGGAGTAATGGGGGGGGCTGACAAGGGGGGCCAGGCACACAGCTGCCAAGAAGGGAGGGGGACAAGGAGGAAGCCAAAGCTTCAGACTCTAGTCTGCAACCCATTTCCCCTAAAACCCATAAAAATCAACAGTCAACTAACCACAGGAACAGAGAGCCCCATACATGAGCCCTTGGTGATGGGCCACCAGAAGTCCCCCCAACAATGTGCATATGACAGAGTCTGCCCCTATGAGGGAGGAGGGTTGAGTGAAACCACAACAAATACCACATACACCACGGTAGACTGCTCTAGGCGCTCTGATTCTTCCCCCTTCCCTATGACCCTGCACATTGCTGTGGCACTCACTGGGCCCTCCCACCTCGCCATCCTGGTCTCGTGTGACCTGCTTTGGCCAATGGAATGTTAGCAAATGGGAGCAGAGGTCTGAAAAAGTGCTTGTGTGTTTCTGCTGGCACTTTTGCCCTCTGCCATCACCATGAGACGTGAATACGCAGGCTAGCTTGCTAGTCCCAGGAGGAGGATGGCAGGCAAGAGGAAGAAAGATCAACCACCCCAGTCACCCTGATGAAGCCATCCTAGACCATCCGCAGACATCTCACTGGGCCCAGCGGGGTCAGCTGAGCCACCCAGCCCAGTACCCAGCCGATTGGGCAATACATGCAGGGAGCTGCCCTCCAGTCAGGCTTCGTGGTTGTTTGTTACACAGCATTACTGTGGCAACAGATAACCGACACAACACAGCACGTACTCCATTTCTGTCAATTGAATAAACAAGTTCCAATTTCATTTCAAAAAATTAATGGTTTAATAAATTATCAATCGTGTGAACTACAGTACCTTCTATACAGGTTTTCAACAAAAATGTATCTTGCACTGTGAATTGACCTCTCCATCAACCGTACAGGTGCCGTCTAAAGGAAAACAAAAAGTGATTCACTAACTCAGGTGAAGAGGAGGGGTCAGGAGGGCTTGAGAAATGCCTATTACTCCCGCTGCCTAGGGTCTTTGCTGAATTTGAGAATCAGAGGCCATGGGGAGACTGAAGCAGGCACCTGAGGCGGACCCGTGTCTGACATCAGGCTCAGCTGTGTTCTTCCCTCCACCCTCACCGCCCCACACCTGACGCTGCACAGACAGCACAGCAGTGCCAGGGCTGAGGGCTCATTAGCAGTGGCCTCTGTCACAGGAGAGGTGACACATAACTGGAACTTGGGAAAGTGCTGGAAAAACTGCCAAGTGCTGTCCATTTGCAGCAAAGCGTGGGAATTATTACCCACCTAAATAGGGTGAATTTGCCTAAGCAGAGGCATCTGTATGCATGAGGAAGAGCCCCAAGCAGGCTGGGGTGGGGGAGACATTCTCAGGACTCTGCCTGTGGAAACTGGGAAGGACTGTGTCCAGGAGCGGGGAGGAGGAGGATAGCCTACATCGCCCCTCTTTGCCAGGGTGCTCATAGCCTCCACAGACCACCTTTCCCTTTGTCCAGTGTTCCTTTGGGAAGGAAGAGGGGCCCTTACCCTGTCGCCAAGTGGACAAACACTGCTCTCACTGGGCTATGGCCCACAGCATCCATGGGACCTGGGCCAGCAAATCAGAGGCAGATTCTAAGCCAAGGAATTCCCTCTCTCTCCCTGCTTGTCTATCTGTCCCTCTGTCCTCCTTCCCATTTTTCCATCCTATTTACACCTCCAACTGCCCGTCTTTTCCCAGCTCCCCACTCATCCGTCTCTCTCCTTCTGCTTATCTTTCCTAGTCTGTCCACCTCTCTGTTTCTGCCTCCTTAGTGGCAGATTTCCTTAAATAGAGGAGCACAGTTATGTCCCGTTATATTCAGATATCATCAGGTACAATTTAGGTTTGCAATTGAGTGCATGCTGAGGAAAAATGGGGTAATCAAAGGAGAAGTATGCCAACTTCAGATCCTCTCATCTCTATCATCTAGACAGACATTTGGGGAGACAGAAATTCATGTTCACCAAGAAGGTTCTGCTCACATCTTTCCATTTTATTTTATTTTATTTTATTTTATTTTTTTAAAAGATGACCGGTAAGGGGATCTTAACCCTTGACTTGGTGTTGTCAGCACCACGCTCAGCCAGTGAGCGAACCGGCCATCCCTATGTGGGATCCGAACCCGGGGCCTTGGTGTTATCAGCACCGCACTCTACCGAGTGAGCCACGGGCCGGCCCACATCTTTCCATTTTAAAAGACACAAGTTTATAGGAAGATGATAGTTAAATTGCAAGTGCCACCGCTGAACCCAGTGGCTATACCTGGCTGTACCTGGCTGTAGGGATGTCCTGTTTCCTTCGTGGAGAGCCTCTAATGCTGGTATATTAGGCTGTGCTTACAGCTCTGACTCACAGGTGCCAATCAATAGCTCCTCAGCCTCCCTTTTTGGAATGGACATAAGTAGCCATGTGCATTCCCTGTGACCCTGCTCCTGACACCTGATTAAACCAGGGCTGAACCAATTACTCTTTCTCTCAAGAACTTGAACTAAGAGCCAGACCCTGTGAAGGTTAGACCAGTGGTACTCAAACATGCAAACAGACAAAGCATGCACTCAAGTCACCTGGAGGGCTTGATAAAACAGACTGCTGTGCCTCATCCCCCAAATTTCCAATTCAGCAGGCCTGGGATGGGGCCAGAAAAATGTGTGTTTCTAACATGTTTCCAGGTGGTAAAGCTGCTGCTGGTCCAGACACCACACTTTGAGAACTGAGTTACATGAGGCTGAGCCCAGCAGTGGACAGGTCATGAAGACGCGGGCTTGGAATGGCATAAGGACGACCACCAGGCGAGCTGAGGTGTGTGGGGGGAGGGCGCTAGGAGTTGGCCCTCAGGTAGCTCCAGGAACAGGAGACCTTGGCACCAGAGAAGGCTGTGCAGCACTGAAGGTGCAGCTGGGCTTCCTTGTGAGTTTCCCCTTCCTGGCAATCACATAGCGTTCATTTGAAGGAAATTTTATTTAGGAGGGTTGAAACCAAGCATCAGAAACGTACCTGAGGACGAGTGTGCTGGTCCAGCATGGTGAGCTGCACGTATGTCTGCAGCGTGAGGCCCCATCGACAGGCATCACGGTACATCAGACCCTGCAGAAGGGAGAATGTGGCACTTTACATCCAGGTGGTATCTGTGAGACCCTGGTCTCATCAGGCACTCACAGCCATCTCAAGAAACCTACACAGAGCCGGGCTGGGGCCAGAGATGAATCCAGCATGGTCGCTGTAATAGGGGCCCATAAAAAGTCCCCAGGGAACAGGATTCAATCATTCAATAAATGTTCTTTGACCTGGAGTCTGTTCTCTATCCAGCAGCCAAAGTGAGCCTGTTAAACCTAAATTAGCTCTTGTTACTCCTCTGCTCAGAACTTTCCAGTGGCTTCCCATTGCATTCAGAGTGAAATCCAAACCCTGATCATGGTCCACAGGGCCCTAGAGAATCACTTCTATCTTCTCCCATCTCCTGCCATTCTCCCTCTGGTCCAGTCTGCTTCTATCCACAGGAGCTACCTCAGTGTTCCCCAAACATGCAGGGCATGACCCCACCTGAGGGCCTCTGCATCTACTGTTCCTTCCGCCTGAACACTCTGCCTCTGTGGTGCTCACTCCCGTATGTTTAGGTCTTTGCTCAAATGTCACCTTATCAGAGATGTGTTCCCTAGCTACCCTATTTAAAATAGAAGCCCATCCTACTCCACCCCCAATCACTCTCTATAGCCCATAGATATAAAACACCTCATGCTCCATAGTCCACTTGGTAATACTCTCATTCTGCTCTTTTCCATATTTTAGCTTTTTGTTTTTCTCTTGGTGCAAACTAGTCAAACTCCAGTGCTCTGCACTGAAAACTGCGGACTTTCCTAACTGCGGGTGAAAGAAAATCTCAGAAAGGTTAGGAGAAACACTCCCTGTTGCCTGACGGCTACAGAAAACAAATACCTTTCTGATACCCTTCTGCATCAGAAAACGAATCCAGATAATGTGGTGAATTGAGACTTCAAAAAAGTAGCAATCCTGGGCCGGCCCGGTGGCGCACTGGATAGTGCGCCGCTTGGGAAGTGCGGCGGTGCTCCCACCCAAGGGTTCGGATCCCACATACAGACCGGTTCCCGCTCACTGGCTGAGCGAGGCACGGGAGCAACACCGAGGGTTGTGATCCCGTTGCCGGTCCCCGGTCCGGTACGGGGGCAACACTGAGGGTTGCGATCCGTTGCCGGACACGGAAAAAGACAAAAGACAAAAAAAAAAAAAAAAGTAGCAATCCTGCTCATCTTTCCAGAGTGGAAACCTGTGTAAAAACATCTAATTCTACCATACTTTTTTATTATAAAAGTTGTTGGAAATACTATCTGTACCAAGAATGCTTGAACTTCTGAGACTGTGATTCTGTCCTGTGAAATGTCATCTATAATCCCTAATATCTGCAACTCTAGTTGTCTTAATAATTAAACCCTGGTTCCTCCCTGGTGTCTAGAGAATATGAATATTCCTGAGCTTTCTTTGTCATATCCAAAGAAGATGACTGGAATCCCACCTTCTCCCACATGTATAGAGGTGAAATTCTTCTCATATCTCTGTAGGACTCTTTATTCAGACCCTGAGAGGTTTTGCATTATTTAAATAACTTTCTTTCACCTGCTTTAGCTTTCCTCCTAGCTCCTATCACATTTAATTGTCTCTGCCTCTCTACAGTGGAACATCAGGCCAGGAAAACGGGGACTATGAATTGCTCACTGCACCAGCGTCCAGGACAGTGTCCACCACACAATGGGCACACGATAAATATTGGTTGAATGAATGAATGAGCAAGTACTAAGTGCTAGGCAATGTGCCTATGTTCTAGCCAACAACAGTGCACAAAATAGACACAGTCCCTGCCCCTACCGGAACTCAGAGCCTAATGAACCACATGAGGAGATGCCAATTGTGTTGCTAAAAATGAGGGGCAGTACCAGCTTCTGAGTCCAAGGTTCAAACCTAGATCTGTCATCTACCAGCTGTGTGACCCTGGGCAACTTATTTAACCTACAGTTTCCACACCTGAAAAATAAGACTAATCACCTCTACGTCATAGGATGGATGTCAAAATCCAACTTCCCTTTCTTAAGCTCTCTCTCGCCAGAGCCAGATTCTACCCATCTCTTGCAAGCAACCAGGGCAGAGCCTTCTGAATGGGAAAGGAGGAAGAAGGGGCACAGGCGCATGATAGCCCCGGCTTGCTAGGTCCACCCTCAGGAAAAGAAGATAGGTGGTTTCAGGTGAGCCAGAGACAGCCCCTGATACTGGACATTGTCAAGTGCAAACTCAAATCAGGGGTTCACCAAGGAACTTGGTAACTTAGAGATAGTTCCTGGGGGACTTAGGTTCTGATGGCTTTCTTCTAGGAGAGGGTGGGGGTGAAATGAGATAGACACCCCTGGTGGCTGAGGGTAGCCACTTGGGATCATTTGGGAGAGCCAATGGGAGGTCCCTGAAATCTGTGTATACCTACCCAGGCCTCAGAAATCCTTGACCTCAGGACACCAACATGCCTCCATTTTCTGCTTGTCCCTGCTTGTTCTCCTCCAACTCAGCTAAGGGCGAGGAAGACGCCTGGGGAGATTCAGGCTCAGGCGTCAGCACCACCATTCCCAGGCACTTAAGCGGAAGCTAGGGGTTCTTGCAAGAAACCACCCACTCACCAGAGGATTATGGCCACGGACATTTCTCCATTTGGGCACAGGTTCTGTTAACACCTGGGAGGAAAGAAAACAATTTTGAGTTCTGAGAGCTGTGAATGTGTATCAGTATTGAAACCAAGGGAGAAAATCAACTACATTGTATATTGATAAATTAAAATCTAAAAAAAAAGAAATTAGGTTTGACCCAACACCCTTGGAGAATTCACGATGTAGTGAGGAAACTCATGAATCCAGAACTGTCCTGCACTGTTTCCTGCCTCCAAATACCTGGAGTTCTTGAACCCTGCAGGAGTGAATTCATAGATTTTTGAACCCAGGGATAGAAATTAAGTTGCTTGCTTGAATATTAATCTTTCAAATAAGAAAAATGTCACAATTGCTGGTTTGATTTGGATTAATAGGGTCATGTTTATATTTTGAGTGGAGAAAATTACATGCTTAAAGGTGGAAAAAGAAAGCAAGGGGAGAGAGACAATCAAGGTTCAGGTGCCCAGGGTGGGCCAATATAACAGAGCAACCCTCTCTGTGAGGCCACAACTCCATCTAGACATGGCTTCCTCATGCAACTTCCAGAAATGGCCCGAGAACAATTCTTTCCATCCCTGTATCCAAGCACAGGCATATCCCATCCCTCTGGCTGCCCTGGGAGCTCCCCACAGGTATCCCTCCTCTGTGTGTTGTATCCCAGCCCTTCCTGTCCACCACATCATGCTGGGCAGGGAGGTGGGGAAAGCCAGGAGGGAAAATAGACAGGGCTGGGCTTGAAGGCCCACGTGGGAACCTGCCCATGACATTGGTGGGTAGCTTGCCTCCATTTCCTCCCTCTGATTTCTGCACTGGGTGCACTGGCTGCTAAGAGTCCATGTTTGTTTAGTGTGCTAGCCTGCACTGGTTTGGAGGCTTTCTTTCCTTCTGGTCCTGTTTGCACTTTTTAGATGCTGCCAAGTTCTCCAACACCTTTCTGGGTGTGCAGGAGTGTGCTAGAAAGGACTTAAACAGTATTCCTGGGGCCAGGATTTTGAGTGCCCAGATCTATCTGGGGACCTTCAGAGTGCACATGAGCAGATGCTATGGGTGACAAGAGACCAAAGGCAGGCAATGCATGGGACTTCTGAGATTAACCTTCCCCCATCCTTTGCACTTCTGTGTCCTTGCTCACGCTGTTTCCTCTGCCCACCATTCCCACCCCACCCCATTTCAAATCGGCTTTCATTACATGGAAAACTCCTATTCATCCTTGAAAATCCACTTCAAATATTCCTTCCTCTGTGAATCATTCCCTGCCTCTCCCAACCCCCTTCTCCTTCCTCTGGGTCTTCAGCACTCCATTCCCAGCCCTTGAGTAGCATATACTGCACCACTCAGGCCCACCAAAATCTATGTCACAGGCAGCCTTGCTCCCTGACCCAGCTCAGGGCACAGCCTGTAGTGAGTGCTCTGTATGTAGCACTGCCACTAAACAAACATTTATTGAGTACCCACTGTGTGCCAGGTACCCATGCTAGGCCCTGAGGATACAGCAAAAGGAAAACCACCCAAGCCCCTGCCTTTGTGGAAATTTAAGCCTACTACAGGAAGCAGACATTAATCAGGTAATCACAGAAATTAACACATATTTTCAAACCTCAAGAAGTGGTATAAAAGAGAGGACCAGAAGGGCCAGAAGAACCTGCATCAGGTAGGGTAACCTAGATGGGAAGGTCAGACAGCAGTGAGATGAGATCTGAAGGGTGAATGGTCTTCCTAAAGCCAACAAAGCTCTTCATACCATAGAAGAACCAAACAAGGGCCTGGCCCCTAGAGCCAGACAGCCTGGGCTGTGATCTGGCTCTACCACACATTAGCCTTGTGTCTCTGGACAAGCACTTAACCACACTGAGCCTCGGTTTCCTCATCTGCAACAGAGGTAATAATAGTACCTACCTCAGAGGGACTACTCTTGTAAGGATGGAATCAATTAGATAATATGATGAACCTTTAAAACAGTGCCTGGCATTTAGCATTATACTCATTAGATGTTAACTATCATTGTTGTTGTTGTTGTTGGTTGGTTCCAAGCACTTCTAAAGTGCCATTGAAAGTTACACCACTCAGGACAGGTGATGGGATTCCCCAAGACGCCCCTCCTCCGCAGGTCTGATGATTCACAAGGAGGATTCATAAGACATAGCATACAGTCACACTCACAGCTAAGAGTTATTACAGTGAAAAGACACCAGTCAAAATCAGGAAAGGCAAAAAGTGTAGGTAGCAAAGTCTGGAGGAAACCAGGCACAAGCTTCCAAGGGCCCTCTCCCAGTGGAGTCCCACGGGACACACTTAATTCCTCCAGCAACAAGGTGTGACAACACGTGAAATGCTGCCTATCGGGGAAAGTGGCCTGAGCCTGCAAGTTCAGAATTTTCATTAGAGTTCAGTCACATAGGCAGTCACTGCTTGATGTGTATCAAAATTCCAGAGTCCCAGGAAAAAAGCAGGTGTTCAGCATAGACCATACCATTTGCACAAAGAGTTTAGGCACTCTTATCACTCAGGAATGGTGGGAGCCCTCTCAAGATCTAAGTTCCCAGATGCTAGCCAAGGGCCAGCCTTGCAAGCAGGCCTCTCTAAGGACAGCTGTCTTAGGACTGCTGCGTCAACTCTTTTCTGCACAGTAGTACATGAACATAAGACAAGAGCTATTTAATGTTTATTATTTTAATCAAACCATGTATATTTTTAATAGAAGTAAAGACAGGAAAGAAGAAAAGAAAATGACTTATAAGAGTATGGAAATTGTAGGATCTATAATAACAAAAGAGAAAGAACCATAAATAGAAAAAATTACACCGCTAAAATCGAGAACAAGGAAGAAGGGGCAGGGTCTTACGGCAGAGATGATTCTTAAACATCTATAAGGTTATTTTTAGTGAGTGGGATCCACATGAACTAGAAATTATATTAATTGCCTTTGCATAGTAATACTCCCCCGTCAAGGTTAATTCTAGGTGTCAACTTGATTAGATTAAGGAATGCCAAGAAACCTGGTAAAGCTATCTTTTTAGGTTTGTCCATGAGGGTGTTTCCAGAAGAGATTAGCATGAGAGCCTTAGTGCACTGGGTAGGAAAGATCCACCCTCGATATAAGCAGGAACCATTCAATCCACTGGGGTCCACAAGAGAACAAAAAACAGAGAAAAAAGATGAATCGCACTCTATCCTCTGGAGCTGGCATACATGTTTGTCTCCTGTCCATAGATACCAGAGGTCAAGACTCTTCAGCTTTTGGGTTCCAGGACTTACACCAGAGACACCATCAGCTTCCATGGTTTTGAGGCCTTTGGACTTGGACTGAGCCACACTACCAGCATCCAGTTTGCAGATGGCCTATTGTGGGACTTCTCTTCACAATCACATGAACTAATTCCCCTAATAAATCCTCTCACATAGTTATAACATATCCTATTAATTCTGTCTCTCTGGAGAACCCTAATACAGATTTTGGTACCAGAAATGGAGTTTCTCTGCTGTAACTCTAACCCCATGTTTCCACTCAGCATTGCTCTAGCAAAGGCTCTATGTGGTGACTCTACCCCTGAGACAGATCTCTTCCTGAGTCCACAGGCTTTTCCATACATCCTTTGAAATTGAGGTGGAAGTTCCCAAGCCTCCACAGCTCTGACATTCTGTGAGCCTGTAGACCTAACACCACGTGGATGCTGCCATGGCTTCCAGCTTGTATTTTCCAAAGCTGCAGGTCCAGACACACCTGGGGCCAATTCAGCCATGGCTGGAACAGCGGAAGCAACTGGGGTGCTGGTGTGGGGAGCAGCATCCAGAAGTAGCCCTGGGCAGTGAGCCTGTGGAGGGTGCCTTGGGCCTGTTCCCCAAGACCATTCTGTGTCCCTAGGCCTTTGGGCCTGTAATGGAAGGTCTAGCCTCAAAGGCTTCTGCAATGCCTTCAAGGCCTTTTCCCCCTTCTCTTGACAATCCCTTTCTTTTGTACTAATCTTTAGCACCATTGCATTTTTCTCCTGAAAATGTTCTGTTTTTCTACCACATGGCCAGGCTGCAGATTTTCCAAATCTTTACACTCTGCTTCCCTTTTAATTATAAATTCTGGCTTATGTCATGCCTTTTCTGCCATAACTCAGCTTAGGCTGTTGCAAGTAGCCATGCAGCTTCCTGAATGTTTTGCTGCTTACAAATTTCTTCCACTAAATATGTTGGGTCAGCACCTTTAAGTTCCAAATTCCATAATACTTTGGGGCATGAAGAGAATGCAGCCAAGTTCCATGCCAGTTCATAGCACGGGTGATCTCTGCCCCAGTATGGCCTTCAATGTCCATATTTCAATCAGCATTCTGCTCACTACCATTCAACCAATCTTTTAAGAAGATCCAGATTTTCCCTGGTTTTCTTGTCTTCTAAACTCCCACCAGCAGCTAGGCTTTTTCTAGCCTATTCCTTCAAATTCTTCCAGCCTTTGCCCATTACTCAGTTCCAAAGCTGTTTCCACATTTTCAAATATCTGTTATAAGCAACACCCCATTCTTGGTACCAATTTTCTGCATTAGTCCCCCAATGTCCATATATTAGAAGCTTAAGTCCCACTGTGACTTGAGGATGGAAGGTTGTATTACGGTAATTAAAAAGAGGTGATGTGGGCCGGCCCGGTGGCGCACTGCGCTAGTGCGCCGCTTGGGAAGCGCGGAGGCACTCCCGCCGAGGGTTCAGATCCCACATACAGACCGGTTCCCGCTCACTGGCTGAGCGAGGCACGGGGGCAACGCCGAGGGTTGCGATCCCGTTGCCGGTCCCGGTCCGGTACGGGGGCGACACTGAGGGTTGTGATCCGTTGCCGGACACGGAAAAAGACCAAAAAAAAAAAAAAAAAGAGGTGATGAGATTGTAAGACTATGTCACAGTGAATGAATTAATAATAGTGGTCAGGGGCATGGTTCTGAGAGCTTTAAAAGGAGAGCATGTGAGAGTCTCTCTTTCTCTGCTCTGCCATTTTCTGCCATGTGAGACCCCTGCATTGCTGTAAAGCCACAACCAAAGAAAACCCTCACCAGATATATTGCCTGGACTTTGGACTTCCAAGCCTCTGAAACTGCAAGCAATAAGTTTCATTTTCTTTTTCTTATAAATTACCCAGTTTCAGGTATTTTGTTATAAGCAACAGAAATGGACTAACACATTCTCTGTTTGGACAGTGATATCTCAGACATGACAATGTAACATTCTAGCCTTGCTCAACAGCCTGACTTTTGTCCTTTCATACTTAGACTCTTTCCCTAACAGACTGTGGGGAGGTCTATACCTGCACTGTCTAGTACAGTGACCATGAGCCGCATGCGGCTATTAAGACCTTGCAATGTGACTGGTCCAAATTGAGATACATCATGAGTGTAAAATACATACCAGATTCCAAAGACTTAGTATGAAAAACAGAATGCAAAATCGCTCATTGATAATTTTTATACTGATTACATGTTTACATATTTGGGATATATAGTATTAAATAAAATGTTCTTTTTGCTTTTTTAGTGAGGCTATTAGAAATGAAAAATTACATATGTGGTTTGCACTTGTGGCCCACGTTACATTTCTATTGGTCACAGCTAGTTTACCCGCTCTATAAATTATTCCATCAAGCCTTTTCAGGTTCCTTCAAACCCAGTGTGGAGGCCATACCTCAATGTCTGTTGTGCTGGAGAAGAATTCCAGGCATGTCGTCTTCCCACTTGCAATATTGCCCTCTACACAGATCTGGCAAAAGACAAATGCACATTAGAGCCAGAAAGCAAGCACCGGGGGAAACATTAGGGAGTGATTTCTAGGTAAGGGCTCAGGTGAACAGCATAGTTGGTTCAGTCCAAGACTTTGAAGTGTAAGCCAAAATCTCTCCTCAGGAAACCCCCAGGGTCCCATCATTAGTAATGACAGACAAACAGATTTTCTCCCTCAGTGGCAGGCTCAAGTTGTCCCTCCAGACCAGACTCTCCTTTCCATCAATTTCTAGACAACACACAGCCTAGCTCTGCCCTTCCCTAGCTCAACCCTTCAGACTATTAGATTTTAGGTATAAGTGTCCTGCCTCCTTAACCAGAGCTTGATTAACGGCTTTGAGGTTGGGAAACATATGTATGTTATCTAGACTCTAACTCTGCTTTGTACAGAAAAAAAGCACTTGGTCATTGACTAGAAAGTATTAGGAAAGGGGAGAAGAAAAAAGAGCAAGGACTTTGCTGAACACCATGTCACAGGCCAGGCCCTAAGATGGTTAACATACATGATTATCACATTTAACCTCGCCAGAACCTGAGAAGTGGGTCCTAGCATTGTTCACAGAAGTGAAAAATGAGGCATGTAGAAGGGAATAAAGCAAGAAGGACAGCCTGAACATACACTCTGTTCATGATGAAAGCAGCTGGGGAGGGAGATGTCACAGCACTAGTAAGAGGGGCCACAGCCAGCCATCTGGAGTTTATCTACACCAAAGACCAAGGAGCCTCCTACAAGTAACACTCCATAGGGAAAGAAGGCATTCACAGCAGTGGTTCTCAGCCTTTGCTATGCATTGGAATCAACTGGGAACTTGTAAAACTATCTACAAGGAAGCCATAACCCAGCCCAATCTCTGAGCATGGGATTCAGGCCTTGGTAACTTTTAAAGCTCTCTCCGGGTGATTTCAATGTGCAGGCAAGGTTGCGCACCACTGGTCTGCAACAGAGTAGCTTGTTAACATGAGATACCACCAGGTGACACCCAGGCCCTTGGAATCAGACTTTGGGTTGGAGCCCTTGAACCTGCCGCCCAGCGATTCTGACAAGGCTCTGCTCAACCAGGAACTGCTGGTGACATGGGCTAAGTGGCTTTGTCTGCAACAGATTACCAGAGGGAGCAGGCATTTCTGCATATGTAAGAGGGCAAACTGGCCCTTGAGATCACACATTAGACATCCTCTGGGAGCAGCCACAGTCAGAGAAGAACCTGTCCTGCTGCACAGTGACCTGTTGTTGCTTTATACCCAGGCTGGAAGTACCCAGAAAAACGTGGGCCACTTAGGTAGCCTGCCCAAGGCACCAGACCTGGCAAGGGAAAGAGGTGGAATTCACAGCCAGGCCTGAAAGGCCCTTTTCTCATGACCCCTGGTGGAGTCTCAGTAAAACAGTACATAAAACACCACGTCACAATTGCCACACCTCGCCACACCCACTATAAACTCTCCTCAGCAACTGGAACTCTGTCAGTCAGCTGCAAAGGCTTCCTCCTGCCTTGATCCTAACAGGTATGCAGAAAAGCCAGGCCACCCTCCAATTCCGAGTCCCTGCCAGCTCACTCCTTTAGAACCCCAAACTATAAAATAAACCCAAGAGAGTGCGCAAAAGGGCACAAAAGGACCCCATTAGAACATAAACAGGTTTGATATTTTGTTGTTGCTCTCTAAAGAAAACCATTTTTCCTGTTCCTAGATATTTAAAAAGAGCTCAACCTAGACATCATTCTACATAGACTTTCTTTCCTGTTCACTGCAAAGACTTTAATATGTTGTTCAGATGAGATCTTCTTCTAAAAACACTTGTTCCTATTCCCGCCATGAAATTATGAAGAGTGGGTAAATGTAAGGCCTTGAATGAGCTCAGCGAATTTGCTCCCTGGTTTAGAGCAGGCAACGCATGAAGGATCTCAAAAAGTTCCCATCATGGAAGGGAAAAAAGAGAAGTCAAGCAAAAGAAGTCCATAATTTTTTTTTTTCGTTAAATTTTTATTTTGTCAATATACAATGTATTAGATTATTATGGCCCATCACCGACACCTCCCTCCCTCCTCCCTCTCTCCCCTCCCACCCAAGAATGTCCTTTCCATTTGCTTGTTGTAACAACTTCAAAAAAGTATAGTTGTTACATCTTCTTCCCCCCGCCCCCCGGTTTTTTTGTGAGTGTGTATGTGGGTGAATTAATTTGTTTATTTTTAGCTCCCACCAATGAGTGAGAACATGTGGTATTTCTTTTTCTCTGCCTGACTCGTTTCACTCAATATTATTCTCTCAAGGTCCATCCATGTTGTTGCGAATGGCAGTATTTCATTCTTTTTTATAGCTGAGTAATATTTCATTGTGTAGATATACCACGTTTTCCGTATCCACTCATCTGATGATGGACATTTGGGCTGATTCCAACTCTTGGCTACTGTAAAGAGTGCTGCAATGAACACTGGGGAACAGGTATACCTTCGACTTGATGATTTCCATTCCTTTGGATATATTCCCAGCAGTGGGATAGCTGCGTCGTATGGTAGATCTATCTTCAGCTGTTTGAGGAACCTCCAAACCATTTTCCATAGGGGTTGCACCATTATGCATTCCCACCAACAATGTAATCTGGATTTGACTTTCTGTAACCCGAGTGTTTCTTGGTCTCTTCTTGAGTATGGTTAGTTAAGTAAATGACCAAATGATCATTTGGGTAACCTAAAGCCTTAAAATACTATATGTTGTACAGCTCCACTTGGTAAACTAAGAGTCACCTTTACGGCCATCTGTTCTTTGACAAAGGCACCAAGCCTATTCACTGGGGTCGTGACTGCCTCTTCAGCAAATGGTGCTGGGAGAACTGGATATCCATATGCAGCGGAACGAAACTAGACCCATACCTCTCACCATATATTAAAATCAACTCAAAATGGATTAAAGATTTAAATATACACCCTGAAACAATAAAACTTATTAAAGAAAACATAGGAGAAACTACAGCAAATAGGGCTGGACACAGACTTCATGAATACAACCCCAAAAGCACAGGCATAAATTAGTTTTTAAAGTGATGTTTACATATATTATAAGAGGAGTGCAAACCCATTGACAAAAATAGCGAAAATTATAAAGCAGAAAATACTGCCCATTAATCAGATACTGAGATAAACTTCACTACATTTTAGCATATTCCACACACGTATTATTTTCTACACACATTTCACATCTTTGAGAGTCTTTCAAGTGCTTATAGAAGGCCTGCTATGTACAAGGCACTGTGTACTGAGGACCCAGTCCCAGTACCCACAGAGCTCACAATGAGTGTGAGGGTGGGAAGGAAAGTAACAGGAAATTATGGGACAAGAAGGTGTTCACTATGCCGTGGCAGCACACGGCCAGCCAGGCCTAGTGTTCTGTGAATGTGCCACAATTTACCCCCACTTTCCTCTGCCACATATGAGGCCTTGAGTCGTTTCCCATGATTATAACTGACACTGTGATGAATCAACTACCCTTATTTTTAAACAACAACATTTAATCTTTTCTAAAAATGGAAGTTAAGGGCCGGCCCGGTGGTGCACTGCTACAGTGCGCCGCTTGGGAGCGCGGCGGCGCTCCCGCCGAGGGTTCGGATGCCACGTACAGACCGGCCGCTCACTGGCTGAGCGAGGTGCAGGCGCAACACCGAGGGTTGCGATCCCGTTGCCGGTCCCGGTCCGGTACGGGCGTGACACTGAGGGTTGCGATCCATTGCCGGTCACGAAAAAAGAGACAAAAAGGGAAAAAAAAATAAAAATGGAAGTTAAGCATTCTCACTGTAGGAAATACAGAACTGCCATTTGGATGCTTATTTGGAACCAAAGGCTCCAGCAGCAAACAGGCTTGGCTCCAAAGCCCCCACCAGAAGAGTCAAAATATATATTGTTCTATTAAAGACCCTGAGATGTCTGCAGTAAAAAAGGAAATTTGCCTAAATGTCTCTCTATTGGTGAATGGATAAACAAAGTGTAATATACCCATACAATGGAATACTATTTGGCAACAAAAAGGAATGAAGTGCTGATAAATGCTACAAGGTAGATGCACCTCAAAATAGTATGCTAAGTGAAAGAAGCCAGATACAAAAGATCACATGCTGTATGATTCCATATTATATGAAATGTCCATAAAAGGCAAATCCATAGAGACAAGAAGCAGATTCGTGGTCTCCTGGGACAGGAAGCATGACCGAAAATAGGCATGAGGTTTCTTTTTAGTGATGGAAATGTTCTAAAATTAGATTGCAGAGATATTGCAGAACTCTGTAAATTTACTGAAATACCTTTGTCTTTTTTTTTCTTTTCTTTTCTTTTTAAAGATGACTGATAAGGGGATCTTAACCCTTGACTTGGTGTTGTCAGCACCATGCTCTCCCAAGTGAGCTAATCGGCCATCCCTATATAGGGATATGAACCCACCGCCTTGGTGTTATCAGCACCGCACTCTCCCAAGTGAGCCACAGGCCGGCCCCCTAAAAAATCTTTGAATAGTATGCTTAAAATGGGTGAATTTTATGGCATGGAAATTATAACTCGATAATGCTGTTTTCTAAAAAAAGGAACCCAGTTCAATTTCATTTAACAATCAAGGAGCTGGGGGAAGACTCCCCACTTTTGCCCCCAAACTCTCTTTCATACATACCCATTGTTAACCCCCTAACTTTCTCTTAACGATACTGAGAATTTCTTCATTATTAACAGTTTATGATATTTCTTTCCTGTTTTTTCCCCTAAGGTCAGTTTATATTTTATTTCATTTAGATTATACTTCATATATTTTTACTCTTAGTGATTTGTGGTTTTTGTTGTTGTTTTTCCCCATTTTTTACCATGAGTACCTTCCTAGGTCATTAAAATTTTTTCAAAAACATGATTTTGAACGGCTTATATTTCCATCACATAAGATACACCAAAATTTACTGAAATATCTACTGTTAGATGTTAAGTTCTGTCCAATTTTTTTTATTACAAAATTGTGTTGTTGTGATGCCCAAATTTTTGATATTGTAAATAGTGCTGTTTGATGGCTATACCACCCATGCAAACACCCCCATTACCCTGGACATCTTTGCTCCTCACCCAGCAACACCAAGCAACCAGCAATGCCTCTGAGCCCTGCATCCCACCCATCTGCAGAATCTGTGTCCATCTCCTTGGCCCTGAGTTTAGTTAAGGCCTCCACTCCTCTTGGCTGGAGTAGCCTCCCTGCTGGCCTCTCCACCTCCAATCTGGCCCAGCAGAACACTCCACCCATGGTCCACCACTGTTTCTTCCTAAGGCAAATCAGAGCCATGTTGGGTGGGGGTAAAGTCCTTCAGGGGCTCTAGGTGTTAGGACCTATCTCCACTCCATCCACACACCTCGAAGCCCTCCCCACCACCTCTCTAGGTACTGGCCACAAGCCCAGGCCTGCAGTTTCTCTTCCTTCTGTGACTTGCACCTGTAGTTCTCTCTCCTCGATCTCCCAGGAGGCATTAAGGCTTCCCAATCCTCCCCTCAGTCATCAGCCCCCCTCCTCACAGCCCACAGACCCACTGCTGTTCTAGATCCACCATTGTCCTACATACTGTTGTCTCCCCCATCACACTGACCAATCAGAAGGACCGTGGGCCAACGGCTAACAACGGGGGCTGTTTGATTTCCAGCTCCAGGTCCTAGCCCAGTGCCTCCTACACATGAGCTCACAGGACTTGAGTAACCACTCAAGCAGCCATGAACCTGAATGCAGGCTCCACGCCACTTCTTATAGACTATGTACTGCATGTCTGGGGCATATGAGACCGCACCCAGAAAGCACCTAGCACAGGCCCCACTCACATCAATGCTAACTCAATAATGAATAACACAATAATGCATTAGTTCCCATCCAGCTCAAGTGTGCGACCTCCTCCCCTTCTATGGTGCCCACCTGCCGTACCCCACTCCACTCCTACAATTTCAACAAACTTCTATAAATCTCAAGTTTTTCAATCACCAGTCCTCTCTATGTGATGTCATTCCTTCCCAGGCCCTCTCCATCACCCTGACTACCCCTGAGGCCTGGCCACACCTCCCACCCTCTACAGATCCCAGCCAAGGTACTCCTGCCACCACCAGCCAAGCCCCCGCCCCTCCCAGACATAGGAGCTACTGACTTCCAGCTAGCTTAGGGAATTGAGCCTCTTGACTGATGGTAACTGAAATATTGTTCCCAACCCTAGCCAGCTAAAGCACCCAACATCCCCACAGACATATCCAACTTAATCCTCCTTTGACCTTCAACCTCACACCAGCCACAGTCCCACCCCAAAGCGAGCATCTCAGAGTCACCATGATGACCCACATCTGCGTACCCTCATGGATTCTCTCTGCTCCCCTGCCCACCACCAGTCTCAGCACTGGAGGGTAGGGAGTGGTGGTCAGCAGACCTTGCATCACATCTGGGCTGCCCAACCCAAGTTGAAACCAACCCTCCCCACACAGGATGAGCATTTTTCAAATCCTTTTACAGCCATCTCTCAAGCTTTAACAGTCCAAATCTACCTGACAGATATGAATACATGTATACTCCTACCTGCATAGACTCTGGGAAAGGACATACAAGAAATTGGTAACAGAGGTATCCTCTGGAGGGGGAGGTCTAAGGCCCAGGCATGGAAACAGACTTCCTTATCCCTGGAGATCTTGTACTTCTGTTTTTTATTATGTGCACATACATGTTCCTTCACTCCTCTCCTCAAAAAAATAAAAATAAAAATTACCTTACATTGGAGAGTGCATATAAAAGAGGGACTTACCACTGATTTTTTCTCTTTTTCGTTTTCTCTATCTTTATCTACAAAAGAAAAGAAATCAATTTTTAAACTCAAGTTGTAAAGAACTCGGTTCTTCTCTGTCCTAATTTACCAAACGACCACAAAAACAGTAATTTTTATGCAGCCTTCCTGACCTAAAAATGTTTTCTGTCTGGGGGACCCTCTGTGGGTAGATGGAGGTATGTGCACCATTGTCTGCCTATGCGCGACACTGTGCAGCTGCTGCCTGGGTCCTGTAGGCACATCCAGGCCCCATGTGTGCTCAGGTTCTTTCACTTAGTATTTTACACAGTACTTTACATCTTCCACACATTTAGTATTTAGATCTTCACAGATGGGTGTCCGGCAAGTGAAAACTGGGCGGTGGGCATGGGTTTGGGCCTGGGACCCAGGTTCTCCTCCAGGCCCAAAGCTGACATCGCTGCCCGCTCCACAGGTGGCTCTGCAGCGTCTCTCAACATCCCCGCGTCAGTGAACGCCAGAGCCTTACTAAAAAGGCGACTCCCATTTCTGAAGAGGAGGGTCCCTACTCCCAGGTAGGGTGGGAGGACGCCCGGAGCCTAACCTCCCTCCCCCGCCCGCTGGCACCAGCTCCTAGCCCCCGAGCCCCTAAAGAATCGGGCCAGGAAATGGGTCGGGGGACCCGAGCCTAGGCCGCAATGTTCAGAACAGGCCGTCTGTGGGGAGGGGTCCTTCCTGCTCTTTCGGGCCCTTCTCCCCAGCCCCGCCCCACGGCCCCAGCCGCTCGCTGCCGGCTCGCGCCCGGGTACCAGCCAAGGACAGTCCCCGCCCCTCGCCTCCGCCAAAAGAGGAAATCCAGCGCCTCGGAGACGGAGCTTCGGGTTCGGCCTGTCCCGCGAGCAGACGGGCGGGGAGTGGGAGGCCTCCTCGGGACGCCAGCGAAGTGGGACGAAGACACGAGTTACCCGGAGGCCAGGCCCGCTGCTGCACCCCCCGCGGCCCAGCGCCCGAGGCGGGGCTTCCGGGGTCCCCCGGGCCGATGCGGTGCAGCGCCCGGGAAGCCCAGCCCCGCAGCGGCCGCAGCAGCATAGCCTGGCGAGCGGATCGGGCTGACCCGGTTTCCTTCCGGCGCGAGTCCGGACGAGCGCGGCCCGGCGGCACGTCCTGCCTCGCGCGCGCCCCCGTCTCCGCCCCTCCCGGGCGCCCGCTGGTGCCCGGCCCTTAAAGAGACCCCGTCTCATTTCACCTTCCCGGAGAGGGGAAATACCCGTGGTGAGGGGTTCGCCGCTTGCAGTCAGGAAGTCTTTCCATTGCTGGGACGCTGGCAGAATGCACCCACAACCTGGCAAGACTCAGGTCATGGATGGCTAATAATACCAACGACCGATTGGTTAATTAATTATTGCAGATTACAGTACTTAATTGAGCACCTACTCTGTCCAAACACCTGGCACACACACACACTCACGATGTCATTTATTCCTCTCAACAACTCTGCACGTAGACATTGGCTCTCCCATTGTCCGAGCCCGTCCTGGGAGAATTAGGTAACTTGTTCAAAATGATCAGAAGCATTCACTAAGCTGGAATTCAAGCCTATCCGTCTTGCTTCGCAGCCGTGTTCTTTCCTCTGAACTTTGACATTTCCGGGTCCAGACTCTAAATGTACTAATATTCCACCTGGACAGATTTTTTTTTTTTTTTTTTTTGTCTTTTTTACTGACCGGCAACAGATCACAACCCTCAGTGTCGCGCCCGTACCGGACCGGGACCGGCAACGGGATCGCAAACCTCGGTGTTGCTCCCGCACCTCGCTCAGCCAGTGAGCGGCCGGTCTGCATGTGGGATCCGAACCCTCGGCGGGAGCGCCACCACGCTCTCAAGCGGCGCACTGTAGCAGTGCGCCACCAGGCCGGCCCCCACCTGGACAGATTAATGGGGGTTGGAGAGGAAGCCTGTAGGTCCCATCTATAGTTAGCAAATTTCAGCCAGGGTGTGGGGTAGACAAGATATTAAATCCAAAGGGCCCAGGCCCAGTAACCTGAGCTGTTGCCACCCTTGGGAATATGTGAGAGTTCCAGTGCTTGGGGGGAGGGTTTTCCACCTCTCCCAGGAGTGCAATATGCTGGTAGTCACCTCTTGGGCAGGGAGAAGGAAGTCATTTTCCAGAATTCATTTAGCCATTAGATCTGCTATTGGAAAACCGCCACTCCATCTTGTGCTTTCTGCCTATCTGCCACACACCTAGCAAGCACAAGTATGTTGTCCATAAATAAACTTGAGAATTAAGGTCAACATTTTTGTGAGTGACTTGGGATGAGCTTGTTGGAAGTAACTTGATCAGATCTGAGGGAATGAAATGGATTGAAGCAGAGATGGGCAGAATCCAAAGAGATCTGAATGGACTGGGGTGATGGTCAAATTCTCCAAGACAATTTAAATCACAAAAAAATGACATTTTTCACGTCCCTAAAAAGAATCGCTCCAACATGGTAGAGCTCTGGCCTCGAAGGAGCACTTGTGAAAAACGCAATTTGAATTCAAGCAAATGAAGGGCCTCAGGCTGTTCTAAGGAAGAACTAGCCTCCAGTGGGAGTCAAAAGTAAAAATATGCAGAACAAACAGGCTCACACACCCAGACTGTGATGCCCAGGGGGGAGCAGGGATAGCATCTGAGGCCCAGGCCATCAGTTCATTCTACCTACTATGTGCCAGACCCTGGGGACCCTGCAGGGAGAGAAGCAGACAGATGGGTCCCTACTTTTCTGGAATTTACAAGAGGACTTCAAAAAGTTCATGGGGAAAAGGGATTAAAAGATAAAAATTAAAAATATAAACTTTATTTCTCAACACAATTTCCATCAAATTCAAGACACTTTTGTTAGCAAGGATACCAGCTGCTTAGTCCATCCCTAAAGAACTGCAGGTCCTGGGAATTTGACCACATCAATGCAGCCTTTTTTACATTAACTGAAGAAAAATGGATGCCCTTTAAAGATTTTCTAAGATTAGGACACAAAAAGAAGTCAGAAGGAGCCAAATCAGGACTATAAGGCAGATGCAAAACTCTTGAAAAACTGCCCTTGTTTGATGAGAATGAGTAGAAGCATTATTGTGGTGGTGACGGACTCTCTGGTGAAGCTTTCCCAGGTGTTTTTCTGCTAAAACTTCGGCTAATTCTCATCACACTCTCATAATAATCAGATGTTACTGTTCTTTGGCCCTCCAAAAAGTCAGCAAGCAAAATCCCTTGAGCAACCCAAAAAACTGTTGCCATGACATTTGCTCTTGACCAGTCTGCTTTTGCTTTGACTGCACCACTTCCACCTCCTGGTAGCCGTGGCTTTGACTGTGCTTTGTCTTCTGCATCATACTGGTAAAGCCATGTTTCATCTCCTGTTCCAATTGTTTGAAGAAATGCTTCAGGATTTTGATCCCATTTGTTTAAAATTTCCATTGAAAGCTCTGCTCTTGTCTGCAGCTGATCTGGGTGCAACAGTTTTGGCACCCATCAAGTGGAAAGTTTGCTCAACTGTAATTTTTCAGTCAGAATTGTGGGAGCTGGGCTAGCTGGGTTAGCCCAGTTTGTTACAGCACACCCTTGTAATTCCAAGGTCAGGGGTTCAGATCCCCATACAGGCCAGCCTCCAAAAAAATAAATAAAAATAAAAATAATAGAATTGTGGAAGCTGAACTAATTGAGATGTTGGCAGTTGTTTCTGCTGTTGTCAGTCCTCTTCAGTGAGGGCATGGACAAGACTAATTTTTTCTTCAAGAATTGATGTTGATGGTCTACCACTGCTGGCTGCATCTTCAACATCATCTAGCCCCTTCTTAAAGTGAATTATCCATTTGTAAATTGCTGATTACTTCAGGGCATTGTCTCCATAAACTTTTCGTGAAGCATTAGTGATTTCACCATTCTTCCACCTGAGCTTCTCCATCAATTTGATGTTTATTCTTGCTTCAATTTTAGCAGTATTCATGTTGCTCTCATAGGCGCTCTTTACAAACTGTCTTATCCTTCATAGTGCTTCAAACTAGATCCTATTCAGATATGTTATAACAAATTAGCACGAGTTTATTTTGGTACAAAAAAATGTTTTTTCCAGTCCATGCATAGTTTTTTCATAATACACATTTTCCATGAACTTTTTGAGTCTTCTTTTTGAAGACTCGTCATATATTCTTATATATCAGCTAGCGATAAATGCTGAGAAGAGTGATGGTGGTGACCACGGGAGGTGGTCTAGACAGGGTGACCACGGGAAATCCTAAGGAAGTATTTGAGATGCCCATGGTCTGGAAGGGCAGGGCAGCCATTCCTGGACCTCCCTCCCTTGCCCCCACCCCAAACTCTGGGAACGCTTCCCGACAGGAAAGCTCCTCAGGAGAGCCGTAGAGCTGTGGTCACTAGCGCCAGGCACAGCCAAGAGACGGCTGGCTCGCATGACCCTCCTCTAGATCCGCGGATGTGCTAAAGGAGAACTGAACCCGGGTGACGAACGAGAGCTGCGGGCTTGCGGCTCCCGTGAGGCGCATGCGCACGAGGTCTGGCCGCAGCGCCGTGCGCATGCGCACGCCGGAGAGCCACCTAGAACGGCTTCGAGGGGCGGTGGCTGCCATTGTCGTCTCAGCGCTCGGCTAACCCGGCAGTGAGCTGAGGAGGAGGTTGAAGGGAAGTGCGGCTGTTGGGTCTGCGGGCGCCATGGAGCCCGCGCAGGCGAAATTACATTATCGGCCCTTCTGCTTCAGTGTGAAAGGCCACGTGAAGATACTGCGGCTGGTGAGGGCCGGGACGCGGGACGGGGGCGGTGTCCGAGCGTGCTCGAGGGTGGTGAGATGCGGTTGTGAAGTGGGAAGTGGGGTTTCCTGTTTGCTCTTTCAACCTTGTTTTTATCGTGCCCTCCCCAGAGGCAAGGCATTTGGCTCTGCCCCCTGGGGGAAGAAAGAGAGAGAAGGTACTGTCCACCCCTTCAGAGGGTTGAGGGACACACTCATATATCAGAGTCAGACCTATCTGAATGGCCTCCCCTTGGACCCACGAACCAGGTACCCAGATTACCAGGTGAGACAGCTGCAGTTGTACCACTCCGAAGCCAACAAGGTTTTTAAAAAAACAACAGTCTTAGGGGTTTTGGTGAATGCTGTGTAAGCCATACTTTTATTGTGACAGAGCTCAAGGCTGATAGAGTCCAGAGCAGGGATGAGGGGGAAACTGCCCATGTCATGGGGGTCAGATTTCCCAGGAGCATTGCAGTCAGTTCTGAACTGAGGTTTGGAGAAAGTGAATCATCGTTTGGAGGAATGTTACCTGACCAGTTAGAGACATGGAAAATAACATAATTGAAGGAATTTAAGAAGGGAAGACTTAAGGAGAAGGAAAAATAGTTTTAAATTTTAAAGAGTTGACATGTGGGCAAGGGGTGGAAATAGTTACATGTTACACAGAAACATTTCTATTTAATATGAGGGAGAATTGTATATTGGGGAAGGTCCCAAGATTAAATGGCACCTGGGGAAGGCAGTACATTCCCAGACAGCAAAGATAACAGGCAGATGAGCCCTTGGTTTACTCAAACTTTCTCTTGGTTTTACTCATCAAACTTCTGGTGAGTAGGTAGAATCAATTGTGTATAAGATCCTTCCCACACCGAAAGCCTGTGATTGTGAAAAAATAGCTATAATGTAATACAAGCTAGAATGCATAAAAGAGGTTTTAAAAACTAGAGTCAAAGGAAGGAGAGATTACATGTGTTTAGGGAAGTCAGGGAAAATGACCTGAAAGTCTGGGGTTTTATGCCTGAATGCTCTGGAACTCAGGAAGAAGGACTGGAACACTGGAAGAGGAATAGTATTTTGTGAGAAAGGTTTAGTTTTGACATATTCATTTTTTCAACAAACACATTGTTCCAAGTTCCATGCTAGGACCTGTAACAAAAGAGACGAACCAAAACAAATGTCCCTAACTCTTGGAGTTCTTCAGTTTAGTCAAGGAGAGAGATGCACATGCTGATAGCTATAATATATGATAAGGTGAAGATAGGGCACAGAAGTGAAGCATCTAACCAAGGAAACAGAAAACTCTTCCTAGAGGAACCCTGTGTGGTATCTAAGGGAGAGTCACTTGAACAAAGGCATGGAAGCAAAAAACAGCACAATTTGTGCACCAAACTGTAAGAAGTTGAGAGTTGCCTTATTTACTCATTCAACAACTATTTATTGAATGCCTGTCATGTGCCAGGTACTGTTCCAGGTTCCTGAGAGATATCAGTGAACAACACAAAGATCCCTGCCCTCATAGAGTTATATATTGGGGTGGGAGGGCAGGAGAGATAAGCAAACACAAAATAAGTAGATTATGTAGTATTCTAGAAGGTGGTAAATGCTGTGGAATAAGAGAGAAGTAAAAGCCAGGTAAAGGAGTGTAAGGGGGCAGAAAGCTGGAGAGGTAGGTTACAGGTTGCTGTAATAGAGAGATCAGGTTAGGCTTTGTTGAGATGACATCTGATCAAAGAGTTGAGTGAGGGGCCGGCCCGGTGGCGCACTGGATAGTGCGCCGCTTGGGAAGCACGGCGGCGCTCCCGCCCGAGGGTTCGGATCCCACATACAGACCGGTTCCCGCTCACTGGCTGAGCGAGGCGCGGGAGCAACACCAAGGGTTGCGATCCCGTTGCCGGTCCCCGGTCCGGTACGGGGGCAACACTGAGGGTTGCGATCCGTTGCTGGACACGGAAAAAGACAAAAAGACAAAAAAAAAAAAAAAAAAGAGTTGAGTGAGGTAAAGGAGTTAGCTATGAGAATATCTGGAAGAAAATCCAGTGCAATCGCCCTATGGCAGGAATATGCCTGAGAGAGTCAAAAAAGAGCAAGGAAACCAGTATAGCTGGAATGGAGTGAGTAAGGGGAACACAGTAGAGATAAGGAAGATTTTGAGTAAAGGAGTATATGATCTGACATTTTTTTTAAAAAAGTACGCTAACTGCTGTATTGACACAGGAGGAGGTTGCTGCAGGGGTGAGTATAGAACCAAGGAGACCAATTAGAGCTATTGCAGTAACCTGGGGAAGAGATGATTGTGGCTCAGACCAGCCACCTGGTGTCTACTAGCAGCAGAGTAGATAATAAGAAGTGATCGCATTTGGGATATATTTTAAAAGCACCAGCAAGATTTTCTGATGAGTCAGGTGTGGAGTGAGAGAAAGAGTCTAAGATAACTCCAAAGTTTTTGGCCTAAGCAGCTGGAAGGATGGAGTTCCCATTCACTAAGATTAGAAAGCCTGTGGGTGAAGGAAATGTGAGAGAATCAGGAGTTAAATTTTGAGAAAAATAAAGAAGTTCAATTTTGGATTTCAGTGTAAATTAGGAATATCTTTAAGACATCCAAGTGGCAAAATGGAGTAGAGAGTTGGACAAGACTGAATTTTGGTACAGAGGTCAGGCTTCAAAAGTTATTTAAAGCCACAGACTGATGAGGTCATCAAGAGAAGAGTGTGGATAAAGCAGAGAAGAGGACTGTGGATTGAGCCCTGGAACACTTCAACATTAAGAGGTTGGGGAGAAGAGGAGGAATCAGCAAAGAGGAATAAGAGGGAGAATTTGGAGAGTTAGAAGAAATCAAGAGTATAGTATTTTGGAAGCCAAGTGAAGAAACTCTTGAGGAAGTGATCAACTGTGTCAAATACTTATGATAGTTCAAGTAAGATGAGAACTGTGAATTAAACACTGGAATTATCCTCTGGATGAATTGTGAGGCAAGTCTTTACTAGAGAAATAGGCAGGAGTTGAATCATGGAAGACTTTGGATACATGGTGAGAGGTAGGCTCTAAAGTCCATGGAGAGCCATTGAAGGATTTTAAATAGATGAAGAAATGCATAAACAAATTTGCATTTTAAAATTTTACTGTAGTGTCTTTATCATGGTGCTTCAAGAAAAAGGTGCTGAAGGGCAGTAGTTGTAGGGATGAAAAGGAGTGACCAAAAAGTTTAAGCTTTAAGTCAGCAGGGCCTGATGACTGATGGTTGTGGGGAGTAAGTAGGAGCAGTGGTCTTAGGTTCCTAGCATAGGTAATAAGGTAGATTGTGGTACCACCAATTGAGGCAGTTGAGTACAGGAGGAAGGGGCAAGATGAGTTCAGTTTTGGACATGGTGAATTTCAGATTCCTGTAGATTATCCAGATGAGGATTCTAAATGACTATTTATATGTGAAATGTGAAGGATAGACCCGGGATAGAGACCCAGATTCATTAAGTTGGGTATGGACAGAATCCGGAGGAATGCCAGCATTTTAAAGTGGGCAGGTAAAAGGAGCAGAATCCACCAAGAAAGAAGAGTTGGAGAGGTATAAGAACTGGGAAAGGTGACATGTGAGCCAAAGGAGTAGAGAAGTAGAAGGGCAGCCAATGGCACATAAGCCATAGGGATCCAGTAGGATAAGGATTGAAAAACGTTCATTAAATTTAGTACTTCTGAAATCATTGATGATATTAACAAAAGTAGTTTCCATAGAGTGGTAAAAAAAATGTTTTGGATATTAGTGGGATACTTAAAAGATAACTGGAAACAAAGGCCAGAAGCTTAGAAAAGATATAAGAGCTGTAAATATGGATCAGGGAGAACCCAGTGTGACAGAAATCATGGGAAATTTTAAGAAAATGGAGTAATCACCAATGCCAATTACAATGGTGCAAAAAGGTTACAGAGGATGGGGATGAAAAAGTGACCCTTGATTTCATGATCCATGAACTCAGGAAGTTGATTCAGTAAATGGAGGAGTTTGAAATGACATGTTGCTAATAGTAACTATGTTAATTATAAAGAATGAAGTCATTTAGTAACTAGTTATTTGTAATCAAACTGACCAGTTTAGAAGTTTAGAGGTAGTGCATTGTATTAGTCCATTTCTGTTGCTTATAACAAAATGCATGGAACTGGGTGATTTATAAGAAAACAAAATTTATTTCTTACAGTTTCAGAAGCTGGGAAGTCCAGGGAACACATTTGGTGAAGGCCTTGGGGGTGGCAACAGTGACCCAGAGGTCTCACATGCCAGAAAATAGCAGAGCAGAGAGAGAGAGAGTTCTTCATACACTCTCCTTTTAAAGCCCTCAGAACCACACTCCTGACCACCATTATTAATCCATTCGCTATGGTACAGTCCTACAATCTAATCCCCTCTTCAAGGCCCCACCTTTACCTAGCAGCAGTTACAGTGGGAAGTAAGCTTCTAATATATTAACTTTGGGGGACACAATTTAGTCAATCCACAGCATGCATTTTTATGCTAATGGAGTAATTAAAAGAATTATGAATAAGCAGCGTGTATAGCTTTAAAGTTAAAACAAGTATGTAGATGTTACTGGCTCACAGGAAATTAGAAAAGTCTAGCTAGGGAAGACTCTTGACTAAACCATTTACCAAGAACACAGAGACTTTAGAAAGAGCTGTATTTCCTGAGAACATCATGGCATTGACAGAACTCCTTGGGACCCACCAGCTCACTTTTTCCTTTAACAACTCACTTTATATTGACATGTTCTATATCTTCATTTGGAAGTGAAGAAATTGAATTAGGTTAATTATCTTCAGAGTTTTTGTTTGTTTTTTTAACACTTAAAATGTCTTCAGTTCTGATTGTATTGTATTTAAGTAAGAAGAATGTGTAAAAAGTGTTACTTTTAGTAATAAAGCTATTAAACATCTGAATCGTTTTTCTCTGACAGTTTATTTTAAACTTTCCTCTCAGTGTTTTTCATAGCATCATTCTAAGTTTAAATTTGTCAGTAGATTCTAGATTGTTGAGTTAAGGAGTGATGATGAGTGGTTGATAAGGATTTATAGACAGCCAGCCTAAAGAGTTTTTTGAGAAGCATTACAAGAAAAACAGAACAGGGGTTTCTGTGGACAGCAGGATGAAAGGAAGGGGTATGTGTATGTGTGCGTGCTGTAGATTTGATGCCTGCCCCCCCCAACCTCAATGAGGATTAATCTCCACTGTAATTGTTGAGGGTGGAAAAACCTATTATGCTAATTGAGAGGTGGTACCTTGAAGAGGTGATTAGATTGTAGGACCATGCCATAGTGAATAGATTAATAATGGTGGTCAGGGGTGTGGTTCTGAGGGCTTCAAAAGGAGTGCGTGAGGATCTCTCTCTCTCTCTCTCTCTCTCTCTCTGCTCTGCCATTTTCTGGCATGTGAGGCCACTGGGTCATTGTTGCCACCACCAAGGCCTTCACCAAATGTGTTCCCTGGACTTTGGACTTCCCAGCCTCCAAAACTAAATAAAAAAATAAATTTTATTTTCTTTATAAAAAAACCCAGTTTCATGTGTTTTGTTTTAAACAACAGAAGTGGACTAATACAGTATGTATGTGTCTTAAGAGAAGACAACTTAGATATGTTTATAAGATGATGAGGAAAGGAGTTAGCAGAGGAGGACAGATAGAAGATATGAGAAGGGAAGGAGATATTTGGTGGAAAAAGGTCACTAGAACAGATGTGGGAAGGGATGATATCAGATTACAAGTGGAGTAATTAGACTTAAAACAGAGAGACATCTAGTTCTCTTAAACACAGAGAAGTCAATATCCATATATGTTGGTCATGCCTTTTTTATATGTGTATGTATATAACAGAAACCCATTTATTTAGTTATTTTCCAAATTATTGTTTTTGCAGGTTAAATTTGTATTCAATTATCATGAGTAAATCATGGTTTTTTTCTTCTAGGCTCTAACTGTGACATCTATGACCCTTTTTATCATCGCACAAGCCCCTGAACCATACATTGTTATCACTGGATTTGAAGTCACCATTATTTTCTTTTTCATAATTTTATATATACTCAGACTTGACCGATTAATGAAATGGTTATTTTGGCCTTTGCTTGTAAGTGTCTAGTTTCATCCTTAAAATTTAACTACTTTTCCTACCATAGTGAGACATTTTAACAAACTCTATTCTTTGGTTCTCTTAAACCTTTAAGGTAAACTCTGATAGGCTTAGGAAGGAGGAACTCTACCCACTGCTCATGGGCTCTGTATTATTCTTGGGGAAGGTTCTCAGGGATCCAGGGCAGCCACAGAGCATAAATTCTCCTCTGAGTGAGCTCCATTTATCAGTAGATGTGGCTGACCTTTATGTTAGGAGAATTCAATTAAGTGTAGAACTACTAAATAAATTGAAATTTAGAATCATGTTAATAAAGTATAGAGCATGAGCATTCTTAATCTTTCCCTTCTTTCTAAGTGCGTGTTGATATGGCCTCAAAATTGAGAGATAGAGATGGAAGCAGATACACAAATATCTATCTTTGCACATCCCTTATCATTAAATGGAAAATCAAACCAATTGAGGAGGTTAAATAAAGCACAATGTTATCTTACTTGAAAATGTCTGTAATTATTAATGCTAAGTAATTTTAACTCATCCTTTAGAACCTTATTTCATAGCACATAGACTTCAACCTGCCATACTCATACCATTAGGAATAATTGTCCAGTGGAGTGCCCAAACATTTCTGAAAACTGTCAAAATAGGCAGGGTGAAGATGTTTCTAAAGTATATGTGGCCCTTCAGCCTAGACTAGAAGCCAGTTCTAGGAAAAACTGAGTGACTTCATCACTCTCTCCTCTTTTAAGTCTCATCCCCAGCATCCTATCTCCATAGTTCTCCTTCCTGAGTTCCCCGGCTGCCCTTCCCCTCTTTGGCTGGACTGGTATCCAAGTTGATAACTCCTATTAAAGAGAGAAGACTTCAGAGCTGTTCTCAAACCTTAAGCATACCTTAAAGTAGTACCTTCTGGAACCACCTTTGGAGGCCAATGATGAGCATTTCAGGCTAGTCACAAGCTAAGAAAGTCCCAAAAGGCAAAAGTTGGGAAATAGCACCTTTCAAAACTCTTACTTAATGTACACTTCAGAGCTTAATGTACGCTTAATGTACACTTTGGAGGGAGGTCTAGAAAAAGAGATTACAGAGCCTTCCTCTATGGCAGAGGAAGGAGCCTACAGGCTCCTAATGGCAGAAAGGCTAAGCTAAATTATTCTAAGGACTTCCTTAAGGAGATGATGAACACTGATCCATATCCTCTTGATCTTGAACTCAAAAAGTTGTATAGATGCTCTTCATGCTCTGTTTCTCTAGAGTTAATAAGGCTGACACATTTTAGCCTTTCTTTTCCTCCAAATTAATAGTTCTCTGGATCTTCTTACATGTCCTTGTAGTAAACTTGGAGCCCCAAGTTTAATAGAAAACACAGAGAGAGTGGCCTATGTGTAGCATGCTGAAAAGAATATTCTCCAGATTTCCGAGGATCAAACTTTGCTGATACTGTAATCTCTTAGAAATGGTGCTATATGGGTAACTAAGTTACTGCTCCGTTATGAAACTTAGATTCCTCTGTGATTTTGATCTAATGAAATTTGACAAATGTTAAGTATCTGCTAATCCCAAATTCTGTAATCAGTTCTTTGATAAGACAAAGCAAAAACTTTATACCTGAGAAACTTTCAATGTATCAAGGAAACAAGATAGTTGAGAATCCAGTGAATAGGTGCTGTGATAACCGTACATCCAGGATGATGCAGAAGTACCCAGCCAGGGCAGGGGAACAGCAGGCAGGTGAAGAAAACTTCTGCTTAAGCAGAGGGCTGAAGGATGAAAAGTAGTTAGCAGCAGACTAATACAGGGAAGAAAAGGACTTTCCTGGTAAAAGGTAACATATATGAGGATCTAGGTGGAGAAAGCATGACTCTCCAGAACTTGCAAGTAGCTCTGAATGGCTGCAGTGTTGAGCTGTGAACAAGAGGGGGTAGGACTGGAGGTTTGAAGCAGTCAAGGGTGAGAGCATTCAAGGGTTTGTGTCCCTGGGCTTTAACCCAAAGGCTGTTGGGAGCTTTTAGAGGTTTTTAAGTAGGAGAGTGACATAATCAGCTTACATTTTAGGAAATCATTAGTGGCAGTGGCAGTAATGGCTTGAAAAGGAAAAAAACTAGAGGTTCTCAGAGACTAAAGTCTGTTGGCATAATCCAGGCATGCAAATGATAAATGCCTTAACTAAAATTATAACTACCTGAAGAGAAGGAAGGTCTTAATGAGGTTGAATTGATAGTATGGGGTAACCAGAGAGAATCAAAGATACCTACTGTTTAAATAACTATCTTGAGAGGATACTGAGATAGAATAGTTTGTAAGAAGGAGGGGGGAGAGAAGTATGTAATGAATCCAGTTTAAGAAATATTAAGTTTTAATTGCTTACGGGATATTCAGATGGAAATGTTCAGAACAGGTCTAAAGCTTAGAGAGAGGAGCTAGAGCTGCAGCTTCGGGAGTCATCACCTTGTGATGGTAACTGAGCTCACACTGGCCGAAATGGCTTGGAGAGGGTGTAGAGAAAGCTGAAGGTAAAACTGGGAAATACCAACACATGGGACAAGAAGAAGGAGTGGCCAAAGAAAGGCAGGGGAAGAATGGCAGGCCAAAGAAAGGCAGGAGAGACCGATGTCACAGAAGCCAAGACAGGAGACCATTTCAAGAAGAAAGGAGTGGTGAATAGTATCACATGTAAAGAAAAAGATAAGTGCTAGAAACGTATTTTTTTTTTTTTACTGGCTAAATTAATAGGCCCCTAGTGGCCTTTTCTAGAGTAGTTTGCCTAGAGCGGGCAGGTGACAGGAAAGTTGTGGGACTGAGCAGGGAAGGAACAAGAACCTAACTAGGAGGGTCCACCACTGAGTTGAGGAAATGTGGCCAGGGATAAAGACAGGTAATGAACAAAGTGAGGTGCCCACAGAGTGGAATGGGAACAAGAGCACAGCTGGAGAAGTTTTCTGGGGCTCTTTCACTGTAACTAAAGTGAAGGACACAAAGATGGCTAAAGATTCCAATTAATCTGTAGGTGGAAGAAAAGTAACTTGTAGGCACTTCTGTCTGATGGCCACTATCTTCACTGAGTAGGAGAGGGCTTGGTTATCTGCACTCAGATTTGTTATTTGTATCATTGTCCCAAAGTTGCAGTCCCTAACATCTGTAGAGCAGGCCTTCTCTCTGACTGTTCCCCTCAAGTGCCCCAATGACAGAAAACACACATTGTGAGCTAACCCAGGGCTTTGAGGTGGTGTCTAAGTATGGGCTCAAAATTTCTGTGAAATCATCATTTTTATTTTTATTTTTTTATTTTTTGTGTGACCGGTAAGGGGATCGTAACCCTTGGCTTGGTGTCGCCCGCACTGCGCTCAGCCAGTGAGCGCACCATTCATCCCGATATAGGATCCGAACCCGAAGCGCTGCTGTGCTCCCAGCGCCGCACTCTCCTGAATGAGCCACGGGGTCAGCCCAAAATCATCATTTTTATAATTAAATTTACATTCTACTCCACAGCATATTGATGTTTAGTTTTTAATATAAAAGCAATGTTTTAAATTAACATTAAGGATCATTGAAGTTCCAGGGCAGGCGTACCATTTTTTTCCTGTGGCTCTCTGCACTCCCTAAAACACCACTTTTATCCAAAGCAGTTTATAAGCACGTGCCCAAATTGCTCACAGGAAGCAGGGCTGCCTGTCTGAAGTAGAGGTGTGATCTGTTGCCTTGAAGCAGTAGAAAATGTCTGGCACAGAGGAGAGTTAACCTAGAATAGCTAGTCTCAGTATCTTGTACAAGTGAGAACTTTTTTCTTCCTACGTGTATCCAATTTTGCTCTGCCTTCATTGGATCTCTACCTACTTTCTTTTTATTAACTGCTTTTCTAAATGCCAGGGTTTTGAAGTTTGGTATTTCTTTGTTAACAATTCCTTCCTGCCTGTAGTTAGTCTACAAACATACATAAACCATTCCAGAACAAAGACAATTTACCTTTTCCATACTATACATCCATTAAAAAATGTAAATTACACTTCTTAAAGCCACAGTTCAGAATAAAAATGCTTCATATTAGGAAATTATTAAATGAATAAGCTATATCATCAGAAATGATAACATAATTGGTCATCCATTGCATATAGACGTGTGGGGTTGTCCTGAAAATTACCACTTTCCCTTAAATGTGTGCTGTTTTAAGTTTTATTAATTGCATTTTAGAAACATAAAGTTTGATGTACAGTGTAGACTCCTCCACATTTTCCCTTATATTATTAAAAATGAGCATTTTGACTTCCCAGGGTACCCATTCTACCTTAAACCTTCTACATAATACACTATCTACTTTCTTCCCTAACCAGATGATTTCTCCCTCCAACTACATTTATGTTAAGTAAAAAAGGTACAAAAGCTTGTTTTTTTTTTTTTTCCTTTTTGTCTTTTTTCGTGACCGGCAACGGATCGCAACCCTCAGTGTCGTGCCCGTACCGGACCGGGACCGGCAACGGGATCGCAACCCTCGGTGTTGCGCCCGCACCTCGCTCAGCCAGTGAGCCGCCGGTCTGTATGTGGGATCTGAACCCTCAGCAGGAGTGCCACTGCGCTCCCAAGCAGTGCACTGTAGCAGTGAGCCACCGGGCCGGCCCCCAAAAGCTTGTTAAGTAGTTAAGTGATTGGTGCATTATAGGTACAGAGAAACAGTAGAGGTCATTATATATCAAATACTATGTAGGTGTCATTTTACTGTGGCATTTTGGTTTCCTGAAAGATAAACACCAAATAAATTGTTTAATAAAATGGAACTTTCAAAATCTTTAGGGAGCTGATTTATATTTTTTTAGCATTGCTTGGTGGTGGTCATGTAAAGCTGACCTTCCTATTCTGTGTTTTTAGGATATTATCAACTCACTAGTAACAATAGTATTCATGATCATCGTATCTGTGTTGGCACTGATACCAGAAACCACAACATTGACAGTCCTTGGAGGGGTAAGTAGGGATCTTTCTGGTTTCTTTCTTCAGGTGTGATCAGAATGCAAATTTAATTGAAAAACAGCTATACTGTAATAATTCTTGGGGCTCCTAGGCCAGTATATAGTGCCTGGTGGCTTAATATTTTGTGTATGTGAATGCATGTTCTGATTAATGTGAAGGGATATGATTTCATAGTAGAACTAGAATTATTTGGGGGTTTATTTTTTTGGCAGCTGGCTGGTATGGGGATCCAAATCTTTGACCTTGGTGTTACCAACACCATGCTCTTACCAAGTGAGCTAACCAGCCATCCCTTAGAGTTAATAAATAAAGAGATTCCTGTGTATTTCTTATAGGTATGTAGGGCTTGACTAGACTGAAGAAAGCTGCTGGAATCAGTTACAACACTTAGTTCTGAGAAACCTGATGTCAAGCAAAAGAAAAACAGGATGGATGAGTTTCATAGCTCTCTCTTTTAAAGAAAAGGATATATACCACCTGTTAAGACAGTTTTGAGCTCATTTATTTCTTGTTCAGATCCTTCTTCAGAGGGGGTATAATAGAAAATATCCTTACAAGAAGGCATTTTTGATAGGAAGCCTTGAAACTGAAGGATTATTTTGAATACTCCTTAAAGAGAAGCAAAATCCGTTCAATCAGACTTTAACCTGCAAGGCAAGCCAAAATAAGAGTCAAGTAATTTAGTTATAGTTCTATCTGATATTCTTATAGGAGTTTCAAAGTCATTTGGCTTCTCTAGGTTCTGATCTAGAGAATTGAATTAGAAAGTTCTTAAATAAATTTCTTCCCTACTTCCTTGTTCTTTCATAGTATGGGCCACTTAGGAGAACTAACTATTCTCAGTCAGCCATGTATATCAGAACCCATGGTTTTCATCTCCTTTAGGTCCTAAGCAACTTAAAGAGGAGAAATTCTGCCATTTGCAGCAACATGGATGAGTCTGGAGAAAATTATGTTAAGTGAAATAACAGAAATACCACATGTTCTCACTCATAACTGGCTGCTAGGAAGGAAGGGAGGGAGGGAAGGAGGTGGGGAGGGAAGAAGGAAGGAATGAAGGGAAGAAAGAAAGAAAAGGCTACAACAATAAGTTGAACTTTCAGAAGGAGAGAACAAACCTAAGGATGCTAGAGATGAGGGGGAGAGAGGGGGAGTAGGTTTGGGAAGTGATAGAGCGGGCAACGGGCATAAAGAAATATCACTATTTGTAAGAATGAATATGTTAATAAATAAAATTTAAAAATAAAAAAGGAATCAGAATTATTCTAGAAATGATATAGCACTGTAACTGCAATTTTCCCCAGTTGTTTTTTAAGATGATCTTACCCCCTCTACTGTGAAATACTAGGGACCAGGTATAGGATACATTTTTATTCACTTATTTACTCCTTCCTTTATTCATTTCTTTTTTTTTTTTTTTTTTTTTTTGTCTTTTTTCCGTGTCCGGCAACGGATCGCAACCCTCAGTGTCGCCCCCGTACCGGACCGGGACCGGCAATGGGATCGCAACCCTCGGTGTTGCTCCCGCGCCTCGCTCAGCCAGTGAGCGGGAACCGGTCTGTATGTGGGATCTGAACCCTCGGCGGGAGCGCCGCCGCGCTTCCCAAGTGGCGCACTAGCACAGTGCGCCACCGGGCCGGCCCTTTATTCATTTCTTAAGTGCGCTTTGGCAAATGCTGACAAAGTATAGCGGTGTGTTGTTTAATACAGTGGCCACTAGCCACATGTGGCTACTGAGCACTCAAGTGGCTAGTCTGAATTGAGATGATCTGTAAGTATAATACACATTGAATTTCAAAGATTTACTTTTTAAAAAAGAATGTAGAGTATTTCATTAATTATTATATTGATAATATGTTAAATGGTAATATTTTGAATGTTTTGGACTAAATAAAATATGTTACTAAAATTAATTTCACTTTTTTTTAAACTTTTTTAATGTGGCTTGTAGAAAATCTGTAATTGTGTGGCTTACATTGGTGACTCACATTTCTTTCGGACAGCACTGGACTAGAGTGTGAGAGCCTGTCCTCAAGTTGCTTAGAGCCTGATATAGGAGACAGAAGTGCAAACAGCTCTATATAAGCTGTTGACAGAGTGCTGCAGAACACAGAAAAGAGGAAGCAACTACCTCTGGCAGTGGAATTGCAGTTTACTGAGAATAAAGGAAAAAAGAGAGAAAGGTTCCAGGTTTAGGAACCAGAAATGTGCAGAATGACAGAGTTATGAAAGGATCTGTAGGAGATTTACAGTGTGGTCAGAACCTAGGAGGCAATGGCTTGAGTCTCAGGGTGGAAAGGGGGACTCAAGGGAGCCATGACTGGAGCCAAGAAGCCGTCTTAGGCACCATCTCTCAAATAGCCATTAGAGTACCTAAAAGGCCCATCATGTTCTAGTTCATTCCCTTTACCTCAATTTTATTTTCCTAAGGCCTATTTAGAGTCCCACCCCTTAATTGGATGTAGCCCAGCCTTTGAGAGTTCACTGTGTATCATATCACTCCAGCTCTCCAAAGCTTTTATCACAGCTACGGTCCCGATGACTTAAAACTTGAGCTGGTGTTAACTTTGACCCCTTCTCCAGTAGAGTTTGGCAATAGGGAAGCCAAACAGTTGAACACTAGAGATAGAAATGTTGATTGATAACTAAATATCATCAGTAGAGCTTAAAAGAATACATTCAGGAGTAAGTCACGAGATACAGAGAAGTATTTATTTCAGAGCCCACACCTCTTCAATATTGTTTATGCTCACTTAAATTCTTTTCCCTTTTTGTAGCCAGGTATTGGGAAAACTTGGCAATGAGGAGAATGAGATGATTGCTAAAGTCTCTTCCCATTTTAGTATTAGGTGGCAGCATAGGAAGCAATCCCAGTACCCTGTAGTAGGAAAGGAATCTGGTGGACAGACCACTTAAAACTTGTTTGAATGACAGAAGTCTGGACAATGGCCAGGGAATGACACTGTGTTTTTTTCCAGGTGTTTGGACTCATGACAGTAGTGTGCTGTATTGCAGATGGTGCCCTTATTTACCGGAAGCTCCTGTTTAACCCAAGTGGTCCTTATCAGAAAAAGCCTGTTCATGACAAAAAAGCAGATTTGTAATTTCATATTCCTTTCTAGTTGATATTAAGTATTAAACATATTTCTTTATTCGTCCACATATTTTCTGCAGTTGTTCTCATTTTAATCTCAGTATAGGAGATAGAGGAAGAAATTTCTGGACTCTGTGCCCATCACTCAGCCTTACTATAACGTCCAAGGGAGAGCTGGGAGCACCAGGGTCCAATCAGGTTTTCTGGCTCCTGGGTTTGGGTGGCAGGATCACCCCAAATGGTCTCCAGAGCACCCTTCCTGCCTGGCTGGCAGTCAGCAGGAGACGGTGGGTTGCGGAGACTAGGCATCCCACGCCCCAGGTGGCGGCTACGGGGGTCTGGAGGGCGGGTGCGCATGCCCAGTAGGCGGCGGCAGCCGTTAGGGCGCCACGCAGGTTCGCGTGGGGAAGCCGGCCGCCTCCAGGTGCTGGCTCAGGGCTGCAGGACGAGGTTGACGCGGCCAGGCCCAGGGTCCCACCATGGATTCTGAAAATGCCAAACGGGAGTTGTCCGAGGTACCTTCAAAGGACTTGGAACAACTGGAACAACCGGAGCATCCCGGACCCCATACACGGCGCACCATCTCAGTGCGTCTCACAGCCCCGTCACGTCGTGGGTCGGCGAGTGTTGCACAACCCGCAGCCTCAGTGGGTCCTGCACATTCAGTTGGTCCTGCACGTTCGGTACGCTCCGCACACCCAGTTCGTCCCAAACCTTCAGTGCGCCCCGGGCATTTATTGCGCTCCACAACCCCAGTGCATCACGAACCCAGGGAGCGCCCTGCACCGTCCAGGACGCCCACAGAACGCCGAGAAACGACGCCCTCTGTGCCCCCTGTGTCCGAGAGCGCAGAGGAGAAGGCAGCGATCCAAAAGCGTGCTGAGGGCCGGGCCAAAGTCCCACAAAAATTCAGGGACAGCTTCAAGCATTTTTTTTTCTCGTCCACTGGAGTATTGAAGATCCTGAGAATGGTGAGCAGATAGCTGGTGGCCTGGCAGGGCAGACGCAGGCCTCTGGCCTCAGGGAGTGATCCCCAGCGGGTGCCCCGTCTGGAAAGCTTCTGTGATCCCCTTTGCCACTCACCTGTGTTTTGCCTCACCCTTGCCCTGCACACACTCAACCCTTACTACGAAATTTGGCGCTTTTTTCCCCTCTGTCTTTTATGTTTCTCAGGTTTTCCCTCACAGAAGGAATTAAAAGAAGCAATGAAGATAACAGCAGAAGTTTGTAAATTAGAAAAAAAAAAAAAAATCAAAGAATTGACCAATACAAGAGCTGTCATTTGAAAGACATTAAATTGATAAACCACTGGCCAATATAATCGAGAATAAAAGGAGAAAGAGGGAATGTATGTTTAAAGTTAGAAACCGGAATGGGAAAATAATCTCAACGATGAAACTGGGATCTATAGGAGTACTTTGCCAACAAACAGGTGTGAATAATTGAATGAAATGTTTTTTTAGGAAAATATAAATTACCAAAACTGATCCCAGAATATAGAAAAGTCTAAAGAGACCAATATAAACACAAAAGACAATGAGAAAGTTATCAGATGATTATCTTTCAAAAATGTATCAAACCCAGACTTTTCCACAGGTTAGTTCTTTCAAACCTTCATGGGATGTAATTCTGATACCACTCAAATTCTTTTAAAGAGTGGAGAAAGAAGAAACACTTCTGAAGTATTTTTATGAAGTCAGTATGATACTGATATCAAAACCTGACCACGGTCAGAAAAAAGAAAATGAAGTAGAGATCTAACTTGTATCAAAGCAAAATAATACATTAGCAGAAAATATTCATCAGTACTTTTTACAAATATAACACAAGAAACAAGGATGATTCCAATATTAGGACTATTAAAATCACCATATTAAAAAGAGAAAAAATTATGAGATTATATCAAGTAGGATACAGAACACATATGACAAAACTGAACATTCATCCCTGATTGCCAAGAAGAAAAAGGAAAAGGAGGAGGAGGAAGGAGACCTGTAAAATAGGAATACATAGATATTTTATTGACATTATAAAAATAAACACTTCAAACCAAAAGTCAGCATCATGCTTAAGCATCAGAAATACTCCCATTAAATGAGGGGGAAGAGTATACCCACTAACAACACTGTAATTCATTGTTTTTCTGGAACCACTAGTCATCACAATTAGGAAAAAAAATAAGAACATTTGAAAAGAAGAGGCAAAATATATCATTTCTTTCAGCTGATATTGTATATATAAAAAAACGCAGGGCCGGCCCAGTGGCGCATTGCTACAGTGCGCTGCTTGGGAGCTCAGCAGCACTCCCGCCGAGGGTTTGGATCCCACGTACAGACCGGCCACTCACTGGCTGAGCGAGATGCGGGCGCGACACCGAGGGTTGCGGTCCCGTTGCTGGTCCCGGTCCGGTGCGGGCGCGACACTGAGGGTTGCGATCCATTGCCGTTCACAAAAAAAGACAAAAAGGAAAAAAAAAAACGCAAATCAACGAAACAATTTAGAGCAAGCTAATTTAGTTAGGTGGCTCATTATTGAGTTAATAAACTAAAAACCTTTCCTATTAGATAAGTAAATACTTAAAATATAAGAAAATATTTCTCTTTACAACAGCAATCAAAATGACCAAATATGAGTAAATGAAATAAATATGAAACACCTGTATGAAGAAAACTTTAAAACTCTACTGATAGTAAAAAAAAAAAAAAAAAAAAAAACCCTCTAAAATAACTGTAAATACATACTTTATTCTTGAATAAGAAGACCAAATTTTGTAGTCTTTCCAAATTATAAGTTAAGTGAAATCCCAATTAAAATACCAACAGGCTTAGTTTGGGGAACTTGACCAAGACAAACACGTGAGATGTAAACAGTCTGAAAATGAGCAATGAGAGGAGGACTAGGGCAAACAATAATACAATATAAAGTGAATTGCCTGTGATTTTAGAAGTACTAGAGAAGAAATCAGCAATTCAGTGGGAGAAAACAGTCTCAAAAGAGACCCAAATACATCTGAGAACTAAATATACAATAAAGGTTGGATTTCAGACCAGTGGGGAGAATACTGACATTTCCCAATAAACAATGTTGAGATAATCAGCAGCTGTTGGGAAAGAAAGAAAACTGAGGTTCTACCTCACTATCAAAATCATTATTTACTTTACCAGTATATATATACATACTTCTTTCTAATATGAAATATTAAGAGTGGTTACTTTTAAGGAGAGACTAGGGTTGGGTTGGGGCAGGGGAAAGAAATTAACATTTTTTTACCCCTCTATGCTGTGTGCTTTTTTATTATTTGCATATATTATTTCGTTTCTTAAAAATATGAGAAATTTTTAAAATATGTACTAAACAATACAGGCAACTGCAATGTAATCAGATTACATTCTGACAACTTATGTGTTTGTTTGTTTGTTTGTTTGTTTGTTTGTTAAATAGCCATGTGCATTAAAACGAATCCTGTTTCTTTTATTGCAGGGTCTTATTATAGCAGCTTTAGCTTGTTTCTTGGTCGCTCAAGCCCATGAGTGGTATGTAGCAATCACAGTTCTGGAAATCTGCATCGTCCTTGGTTTTATTCTAATATATTTGCTAACCCTTCACCGCTTGCTGACTTTTTTACATTGGCCCTTACTTGTAAGTGTTCATTTTCATGATTCAGATATAAGCTTTGCCCTCAGCCCCAGAGTAAGGACTCTCCTCAAGTGAAAACTATCGCTCTAGACAAGGACATAGCTGAGCTTTTAGAGTGTTGCACTAGGCCCAGGGAAGAAACTAGCCCAATACCCAGAAAGATTCCCTCTGTCTATAGAACAGCCAACATACACACCTGCTTCCAGCTCAGAGTGTAAAACCCATCTCGTTAAGGCACTGAACACATAATACTTTTTAGCTTGTCCTAAAGAAAATTTTAATTAGTATATTCAGTATGTAAATACATTTCTCACCCATTGCTTGGAACTGTGCATATTTTCACTTTTCATACAGCACTCTCTCTAACACACTACAAACATCCCCCCAAAAGCAAGAGTTGATATGACAGAGTTGTGGGAAATTGCTGTGCCTACCCTGAAAGATTGCAGAAGTCAACCTGTTTATGTGTGTTAAGGGTCCAGACTCTCAAAGAGGTGCCATGTCCAGAAAAGGACATTACACAGCCTCCTTTAATAGCTTTTTTCAGACCTTCGTGTTCTTTACCAACTGAAAACTTCCTGAAGCTAATCCCTCAGGTCTCAGACTGGAGAGTTAGTATAGTTTTGTCCAGAGGCAGACATGGGCCCAGTTCCTAGCCCTGCCACCTTACTAGCTATATTACCTTTAGCCTTAGTTTCCCCATCTAGGAAATGCAGAGAAAGAAAAGTGTGATGATAGTAACTACCTCATAGAGTTCCTGTAACATTTAAATGTGTGTGAGGCCAATAGCACAGTACTTGACACAAAGTAAAGGTAGTTGGGTGGCTTTTGCCATTCTGTTCTGCACTGTGATCCTACCTCAGAGCTCAGGCCTCTTCCCACATCCCACTTCCTTATTGTACATTTTTCTAACCTTAAAGTAGGACTAGTTGCTATTGAGCTAAAACTCAAATATTTTCTTCAAATATGTGAGGGATTTTCTGAAGAGGCTGCTGAGCTCTCTCTGTCCCACAGTGCTGAGCTACAGGAAGCAGACAAAGCAAAATATGAGCAACTTTAGTTGGACATATAGGAGATCCTCTTAGTTGTGGAGAGCTATAACCATGGAGAGGTTTCTGAGGGAAAACTAAAATTTCTGTTCATGGAAATTTTCAAGAAGGGAAGGTAAATTAACCATTTTTGAGCACATACCATGTGCCAGATACTTTTTCATATATGGCCTTATTTAATCCTCACAACAACCTGTGAGGCTGTAGTCATCCCTCGCCCCCCATTTAAAAGATGAGAATATTGGATTAAAGAGATTAAGTTGCCCATGGTTATATGTAGATTCTTTGAAACTCAGATTTGAGCCCTGGTCTATCTGACTTTAAAGTGCAGACTCTTCCCAGATTTTATACCCTATCGTATAATGGTTTCTCTATCTCCATCCTCCTTAAACCCTCCCTTAAGGTAAGGAATTCAGTGAGATGACATCTTTATGTCCTCCTCAGAGTCTCTAAATTTTATCTCTGTATCTTACCCTGTTTCCTCGTGGCTTTTTAAAAATGTGAAGTCAGTGGCCAATTGATTATCCTGGCAGGTGTGCACAAGGGGAGGGTGACTGAGGGCTCCACAGTACCATTAGTTGTGGTCAGGAGGACCAAAGCTCTCTTAGGAAAGGACTCACACAGGCTGGATCCACTGCCATAAATCTGGAGAGCTGGAGAGAACCACGAGACACCATACCTTGCTGTAGGATCCAGGGGGAATGTCTAGGAAATGTCTCAGACAGGCAAGAGCTGGGGTCTCCTGAGCATGAACTGTGAGCATCCTGTGAGAAGACATGTTCTGACAGTGGTTACAGGAAGCTCAGGCCAGCTCTTACAAAGTTACAGGCCTTTGGTCAACTCTAATAAAGACAGGCCCACTTGCTGTGTCTGTCTTCAGTGAGAGCATCCTCTTTTGTTTGGATGGCTGTGGGAACCCAAAGTATGATTCAGAGGCCCTGCCTTTTTCTTGCTACTGTCCTCTAGGGCATGAGCCAGGGCCTGGCACAGCACATGGATATGCCTAGTGAGCTCTTAGGAACTCCATAGAGAAGAACTCTGTAGCTCAACTAATTAGCAGTACAAATACTGAGCAACCACACAGTTGGTCAGATGGTGAGTAATTTAATTGACTTGGAAGTTTTTGAAAAAGACCCATCAAAATAGGGCCCAAACTGTATTCTCTTCTCCTGTGCAGTCCCTTCCTTTCTAGTCTGCCCTTTCATATCATTTGAGATGAAGGATGTGTACATATACGATTTCTCAGAGGGGCAAGTAGCTTCCACTGGGTGGTAGTAGGGACTTTGGCATGGCAGGAAATGTGCTGGTTTAGTGAGGGTATTTGGTGCTAGGAGGTAAAGACTTGGCACTTATGAGGGTAGGCAGACTTGGAGATGTGTTGACTTCACACTGCAGGAGTCACTTGGCACTTCATCACAGGTCAGTGTGGAAAGCCACAGAACATATGGCCTGTTTCATACTGAAACTGTTTTCAGGCTCTGCACAGGCCCAAAGGCCTGCCCACAGACTAGAGGTGTCCAACATCCATGACTGACACTTCCTTTCAGCCCTTCTCTCCAAGCAAGATCGTTTGGTTCCCAGGAGGTATAAGATTAAGGTAAAGAGTACTAGTACACTTTAAGTGGTGATTTCTAATTTAAAAGTTCATACAAAGAATAGAGATCCTTATTTCCCTATTCCTATAGGTCCTCAGCAGGGAGATAGATAGAAAGTCTGATACATTAGGGCTTCAGACCCTCAGCAGGGCAACCTCAAAGAGTACTGGCTTCAGATACAGGTGACTTGCTGAGATCTGTGGCCTCTGGAACCATATTTATTAGGGTCTTCTTCTCTGGACAGATGATGGAGCCTGGGCCTGGAGACCCACACTCAGTCTCTGAGTTGCAGCTGCCCTCTTCTGTGAAGGCTGTACCAGGGACCCTGACACCATGGAGAGGGCATGGGTCGAGCTCTCAGCCCGTAACCTATGTGGAGCCCTTTCTATCTGCATGACTCTGCATCAGAGCTATCGGGAGTACAATTTTCCTCATCCCACCTGGGGTGGAGTTACTGTCTTCATTTTTAGGGTTGTCATTTTTACCCATCCTAGTCTAATGTTATCTCCCAATATACCCAAGAAAAGTATGAATTATAATTATTGTCTTCTGAATAACCCATATTTTAAACACTTCTACATTGTAAAATTATCCAACGTGGTCAGAGAAACTGAGTTCTGGTCAAGTAGATATTTTTGACAATAGAAATCAATTTTAAAACAAGAATATAATAAACATATTTTAAACTAAAACTCTATAGAAGTGATGATTCCAAAACTACCAGCAATTGTCTTTACATGTATGAGCACCAGGTATCAGCTTTAGGATATCCCCTTCAAATAAGATTAATGAAAAACAACAATTCTGGTGATTTCTGACCAGGTTCTGCCATGTGTTTGGAGAATTCCAGGCACAAATGAAACCAGTGAAAGTTGCAGTTAGGTGAATACCAGATAATATTCAATGTTTATAAATTCCTATTACAAATGCCACATTTTGCAAAACAAATTTTAAGTGTTTAACTTTTTAAAAATATTCAGTGATTTTTAAAAGTAAGCATTCACCATTAAAGCATCTTTGTCTTTCTCAGTTATAATTCTGTACTATTTTGCATATCCTAGAGGACAGTTTGGGAGCTTTAAGGAAAAACAGTAGTCAAATAACAAACCCATTTCTCATTTTAGTCAGAGGAGCCCACTTAAGTCAGTAGGGTATTTAGTCTGGGGGAAAGAACAAGATGAGTATGGATGGCATTCATGGGGAAAACAAAAGTCCTATTGCACATGGCCAGGCTCAGCTGCAATTTTAACCCAGCACTCAGGGAGGACATATCTGTCTGTAGAGATGAGGCCAATAAGAGGGTCTGTGTCTAAGGCAAAAGGGAGGTAGGTCAGTCAGGAAGAAGGCCTTTGGGCACTCAAGTCAGACTGCTAAGGGTCATAACCTATTACTGGCTGAGCGATCCTGGGCAAGTTGCTTCCCATCTGTAAACTGGGGATAATGAGAGTTTGTTGTGAGAATCAAATGAGATCACATTAACACCTTGGCACAGTGTGTGACATATAGTAAGTGTTCAGTAAATACGAGCCACAATAGAAATGTTAGATATAAGGCAAACCTTAGCCCCAGGGGACAATTTGGGAGAACATTTCTTTGTAAGTAAGGACCAGAGTAAACTATAACATCCAGTAGTCAAAGGAGGAGATACAGTTATGAACAGGAGTCAAAGATTAGCTGGGCCTAGTCTGTGGTTGGTTTACTAGTATTGTCATTATTAATGTGCTTTCACCCAAATTCTCAATGACCTAGGACCACAGCTAGTAAATTTCGATTTTTAAAAATTTATACTCTGCTTCTTAGTTGTAAGAGGCCTGTTCACATCTTTGAATATCTTGGTTTACACAATCCTTAGGTACTAAACTTCCTGCAGAGCTGCAAACCACTGTACCTGCCTCAGTCAGGCTTGCCCACTGTGGGCAAACCTCTTGCTCAGCCTGTAGAATCCAGCTGGGACTTACTTCCTATCTTTACCAGCCCTGCTCCATGCCCGCATCCCAAAATAGTAGGTATTAGTACATTTCCAAGACATTCTACAATAGGGCTCTTTGCTTGCCAAGCGCAACAGAAAGAACACCTGGAGTTTGCAGAAAGTTTACTATCTGTGCACATTTTGAAGGCAGATGTCATGAATCTATATTTTGATGCACTCCCATTACCTGCTAGACACCAGGAATATTATTAGATGCTTTCAGATTCATTATGCCATTTAATCCTCAGATCAATCCAATGAATACCAATCATTATCCCCACATTAAAAAGTAGCAAGTTGACAGAGGGGCAATAAAGCATGCCCAGGTCACACATCTAGGCACTGGCAGGCCAAAAGAATTCATCAACAAAAACAGCCTTAACTTATTTGTGCCACACCATTTTGACACTTTAGACACATTCCACAGAAAATCCCAAAGATGGATTGGATGCTCTACTTCCAGCCTAGGGAGATAGTTCATGTTCTCCTTATTTGGGTGTCCCCAATGGGAAGCAATAGTGAGCTGAATTCTGACCCCAGTCCTTAGCAGTTATTAAATTGTAGGCAACTTAATAAACCTCTCTAAGCCTCCACTATGTCCACTGTAAAATGGGGATCATAACGGTACCAACCTTGAGGGCTGCTTTGTGAGGGTTAAATGAGATAATAGGAAATTCTTGGCACATTAAAGACCTCCATTAGAGCCACTATGATTTCCTACACCGGATGGCAGTGCCCCTTGCTGTGTTTGGGCTAGTGCACCTGACAGGCTGCCATTACCAGGTCAGGCCATGAAGATTTTAAAGACTTAACAGTGTTCAAATTAGGGCTGGCTGATGGCTCACTTGGGAGAGCGCAATGTTGATAACACCAAGTACAAGGGTTTGGATCCTCATACTGGCCAGCCGCCAACAAACAAAAAAAATTCAAATTAGGTATCTGGGCCATATGCTTATATTACTCTAGGCTTTTTCCCCTCCCCATACACTGGTGCCACTGACACATTGAATACTATCTCTTCTGTTATTGCTCCAATGCTCCAAAGCCCAGCATCTGCTCACTCAGAAGCACGCCCCTACCAACCCTTCCTCACCCTTCATTTCAGCACACAAAGAAGCAGGCTAGGCTATCAGTTCAAGAACCCAGTAGTGAAATCCAGTTGAAATTCAGAATGAAACATTTAAAGAGTTTGCCAATGTCAAGGCAGACTCAATTCTGACCATGTCTCGGGAAAGAGCAAAAGTCAACATCACAGCCATTCACTGAAGAATATCAAGCCTGCTCCTCATATGGGTTCATGCATTCTTGGGATGTGAACTCAGAAAAAATGTGACCCAATTTCCAGAGCTTTGGTTTTACCTGCAGATTTGGAAGTGGAATTATATCAGTAATTAAAGCGTTAATCTAAAATTTTATTTTTATATTAATACAAATGTGTTATAGAAAAGAATGCAAAATTGACATTAATTTAAAATATAAGACTTCAAATAAATCATGATTATGGAGGACCAATTTGGGCTAGACCCCTAGACTGCTAGGTTTTTTCATGCTCACTTTACTATGCCCTTTAAAGAAAGTCTGATAGAAAAGTTGTCAGCTTCTTTTATTTTTTTTTTAAATGATGTTCTTTAATGAAAATAAACCCATTTCTGCAGATAAAGTCCTATCCTGGATCTTAAAATCCCATAAACTCATGTCTCTGGAAGATGTTAAGAATTATGTCTCTGAAGATTCCTCTTAATCTTAATCAAAGGGAACATTTTTAAAAGGCATCCATCCTTAGATGTGTAATTGACCAACTTAAATATTTTATGAAATTACATTTTCATTTAAAGGTGACAATTTTCAATTCTGTTTTACAGGATCTTATCAACAGTGTCATTACAGCTGTGTTCCTTTTAGTAGTTGCCATCTTGGCCATGGAAGAAAAGAAAAGAAGGCACTTATTCTATGTTGGAGGGGTAAGTAGAGGCCTTTCTGACTGCATTTAAGATCAGTGTTCCAAGACTCTGAAAAAAGAGAAACTGGCAGACCATCATTATGTCATTAACAGAACAAAATCCCCACCGCCACCCTTTGCCTTCTTGCACTGCCTTCTTCGGATGCTGTGAAGTTGCACAAACTCTAAGCACATGAAAATCTTAATTCTAATATGCATTCTCCAAATAGGTACAAAAACGAGAGTCTGCTGAACCCCTTTTGAGAATCATACACACTATTTTTGAAATGTTGCAACAAGATATTATTGTCTATAAGTGGGACTTTGATTTTCTGGATTAGAGAATTATATATATATATATATATATATATATCTG